TTTAAGTAGTTTTAATTGTACTCAGAAAGTTGCAATGTGTTTTTAATGCATCATATTGAAATCTCATTTTAAAGAATTTAAGTTGGTGTAGCATTCTTTTCAAAATAAAACCTCTCATCTAGATCATTAAATGTAATTACAACCAAAAGTCTTGTTTCTCTTTACAACTAGTGAATTTAAAAAAAAATCACATTCTAGCCCTGGCCAGTTTGGCTCAGCAGTTAGAGCATCAGCCTGCGGTCCAGAGAGACCTGGGTTCGGTTCCCGCTAAGGGCACGCACCTCGGTTGCAGTTTGTCCCCGTCCCTGGTTGGTCATGTGGGTGGCAGCCATTCGATGTGTCCCTTTCACGTCGATGTTTCTCTCTCTCTCTCCCTCCCACTCTATCTGAACAAAAAAATGGAAAAATGTCCTCGGGTGAGGATAAAAAAAAAAATTACATTCTATGGAACTGTCATGACTCAGTGATAGCAGTGGTGACTAATTTTTGAGAATGCTCAGAATGAAAGAAAATACTAAATAAGGAATTTGTTTAACAAATATTTACCTTATCTGCAAACAGGAAACATTTTAGTAATCTGGGTGGTGGACGATATTAAACTTAGTTTTAGCTACCTAGCATATATTAACTTAAATCTCACTAAAGACTTGGGTCTCTTTTTATTTTATTTTTAAATCCTCACCTGAGGATATTTTTCCATTTTATCTTCAGATAGAGTGGGAGGGGGAGGGAAAGAGAGAGAAACATCAATGTGAGAGAGACACATCAACTCGATGCCTACCACAAAACCCTGACCAAGTCTGGGGACCAAACTGCAACTGAGGTATGTGCCCTTGACCAGAATTGAACCCGAGACTCTTTGGTCCTCGGGCCAATGCTCTAACTGCTGAGCCAAACTGGCCAGGGTGGTCTCTAACTTTTTGTGAAATGATTTTCAAGTACTAATTAGGTGGTACTTCACAGATGGGATGCCACCAATTCATATTTCATGTTATGTATACATTCTATTACTTTCCTAGGGATGCCATAACAAAGCACCACAAACAAGGTGACATGAAACAACAGAAACTTATTTGCTTGAAGTTCTAGAGACTAGAAGTCCGAAATCAAAATGTCAGCAGGGACATGCTCTCTCTGAAGCCTATAGTGGAGAATCCTTCCTTGTCTCTTCTAGCTTTTTGTGGTTCCCAGCAATCCTTGACTTAGAGACACATCACTTTAATCTCCATCTCCGCATGGCCATCTCCTGTGTCTGTGACCTCATTAGTATTTCCTCTGTGCTGTGTCAGTGTCCAAATTTCCCTTTCCTTCTAAGGACACCAGTCATAGGATTAGGGCCCACCTTAACTTGCTTACATCAGCGATCAAGCAAATCAATGACTTGTCTGTCTTGAAATAAGGTCACATTCACAGGTATCACAGGTTAGGATTTCAATTTATCTCTTTGAAGGATGCAGTTCAACCCACAACACACACTTCCTGATTTCTCTTGTACAATAACAAGGCACTAAATCAGTAGTTTCCATCCTGGGTTCTTGGGATTTTTAGATATCCCCAAAGGCATATAATATACTTTGAAAATCCCTCCCATGACACTTATTAGATCATATTTTTGGATATGTTACTAAACTGTACTAAGTCTCAGTTTATGTACAAAATCAGCCTTGTAGGGATTATAGACTAAATGAGATATGACAAGTGTTTGGCATTGGATTTGGCCCGTAGTAAATATTCAGTAAGAGGAAGAGGCAGCACTTAAGAACATACTCATTTACCATCAAAACTCATTTCCATCTTCTCTACTCTCCTCTGCATCCTGGGAAGACACATCTATTTGCTTCACCACTGAGCTCCCTTTCCCTCTGGCTCCTGGTTGCTCTCAGGAAAGGGAGACACTGGCAGGTGATTGGAGGGCAAGAGGAGGGTGGTGGAAGTATTTAACTCCCTGGCTCTCTGCTGCCAGGCTGTGAAGTGGCCATGGTGGTGTTACTGTACCTAAGGACACAGCCCTTGTCGTTGGCCTTTCTTATGGCCACAGTGACAACCACAGCTACAGCCACAGCTCTCCCTGAGATGTGGAGACTTATCTTTCCCTTTACCCTTCAGGATGCGCAAGGGCAATAGCTCCCTATTATGACTCATCTTGAAGGGACTCTGCATCCTTTATTAATTTCCCTTAGTCCTACTCACCCCTTTGTACACAGTCCCTTCATTATATTCTCTTCAATAACTCCCCGCACCCCCTCAAAAAAGAACATACATTCTGAGTTAAATAGCTTAGGTTCAAATCTCAGCTCCACTTGCCCTGGGACCTTGCGCAAATCTTAAACTCTGCTGTTCTCAGGTGTAAACAGGGTAATAACAGCACCTAACTCTCAGGAGTAGGAGGATAGCAACATGAGTAAATACACGAAAAGCTTTTAGAACAATGCCTGACACAGTACCTTCAAAACATAACCATGTAACAAAAAGGGAACACATCTGACTAATCCTCAGAAAACCTGGTTAATAGACTGACTCTGGGCTGTGCGACCTGAACACCACACTTCATTTCTCAAACTTAGTGTCTTTGTCCGCAAAATACTTAACTTGTAAGGCAGTTATGAGAATAAAAGGTGACAATGCACTCCAAATGCCTAACAAAGTAAACACTAAGAAATGGTAACTACTGCCCTGGCCGGTTTGGCTCAGCGGTTAGAGCATCGGCCTGCGGCCTGGTTCGGTTCCCGCTAAGGGCATGTACCTTGGTTGCAGTTTGTCCCCGGCCCTGGTTGGGTCATGCGGTGGCAACCACTCGATGTGTCCCTTTCACGTCGGTGTTTCTCTCTCTCTCTCTCTCTTCCACTCTTCCCCTCCCACTGTATCTGAACAAAAAGTGGAAAAATGTCCTCAGGGAAGGATTAAAAAAAAAAAAAAGAAATGGTAATTACTGTTAGTAATGATAAAAGAATTTTGTAATTTCCCCTAGGCTTTGGTCACACTGAATTACTTGTAGATCCCCAAAAGTTTTCTCGCGTTTTCATATCTGTACCTCTGCGACATTGTTCCGTATTTTGTTCAGATAGAGTGGGAGGAAGAGAGAGAGAAACATCGACGCATCGACGTGAAAGGGACACATCAAGTGGCTGCCACCCGCATGACCCAACCAGGGCCGGGGACAAACTGCAACCGAAGTACGTGCCCTTAGTGGGAACTGAACCCGGGACTCTCTGGAACGCAGGCCAACGATCTAACCGCTGAGCCAAACCGGCAAGGGCTCCCCTCTGTTCTTCACTTGGTTATCCCCTGGTTCTTCAAGATTGAGGTGTTTAATTCTCTAAGAAACCTCTCAAGTCTAGGGTAGGTGTTTTCTGTTTTCTTCTAGTACTGTATTTACTATATAATTTTCTATTGACCTATTTTCCTCTATTAGACACTTGATACTTGCGTGATCTTGGAATAAGCTACTTAACTCTTCTGAGCCTGTTTCTTCATTTGTGAGAGACGTAAAAATGAATGAATTTAGCACTTAGGACAATGGCTAACACGTCTTCCAGTGACAAGCGCATAATAAGCAGTAAATATTTTTAAATGTAAAATAAAATAATTTGCAAATTTTATTAACCTTTAAAAAAAGTTAGCCCTGGCTGGTTTGGTTCAGTGGTTAAGTGTCAGCCTGTGGACCAACGAGTCACGGGTTCAATTCCAGCCAAGGGCACGTTCCTTGGTTGCAGTTTGTCCCCAGCCCTGGTCAGGGTTGTGTGGGAGGCAAGATGTCCCTCTCACGTTGATGTTTCTCTCTCCCTTTCTCTCTCCTACTCTATCTGAAGATAAATAGAAAAATACCCTCTGGTGAGGATTAAAAAAAAAAAAAAGTTAGACACAAAATCAAAGTGAATATATAGGCCATAAATAGGATAGGCAATCTTTTGAACTCTGATGTTAAATAAAATCAACATCATGAATGAGATTAAACAAGTAACCTTAAGGAGATAGAATGTTTCTTCTAGGCTAGGAAGAGCTGGCTGTAGCCTAATTAGTTATGGAAACATGGAAAAAGGAGACTCAGGAATACCAGAGATGGAAGAAAAGAGATGCTAGACAAGAGAATTCTACTCATTTGAGAGCCATTTTGTTAGAGTGCGGATGGTTTACTAATGTCATTATGGCTTAAAAGAAACCTATCTCTAATTCTGAACTGTCATACTCAGGTTAACATTGTCATGCAGAAACCTCCCGACTGGTGGGCAGTGCTTTGCCTTTCAGAGAGTAGGAGACTGGTACACAGGTTGGAAAAATTTTTGACACTAAAAAGAAAGTACATTCTTTGTTAATCAATGTAATGGCATCCTGGTTTATACACAGCATCCCCTCTGTTCTGACTCTGGTTATTAGGAGTCTGTTTCCCTCTCTCTGATCAACTATTAAATATTTGCTTGAATGGATTTGAAAAATTAAAAGCAATGTTGACCCACCAATAAATGAAGACAGTCTGGGGACCTTTCTGAGTTAGCATGTTATCATTCCGCCTCTCCCAAAATCACAGTAAAATTCATTGATAAATAGCAAAAAGCATTAAAGAATATTAGAAACATTTTTAAAAGGTTTATTTTTCAATCCTGACCAGGGCTGGGGACAATGTAGTAACAACAATAAAAAAATCAAGAGACCTTATCAAAAGTATTTATTCTTAGTATAGAGAACATACTTAAGATCCCATATTACTTGGTTTTCAAAGAATACTTATATCCAAGACTTTGTAAGTGGAATCAGAAGGGGGAAAGGGACCGGGGAAAAAAAGGGGGGAGGGGGAATGGGAAGAGAAACAGTTTGGTTCCATTTTAGTTGAAGCAGATTTTATTTATTCATTCATTCATTCATTTATATCCTCACTGGAGGATATGTTCATTGATTTTAGAGAGGAAGAGAGAGAGAGAACCATTGATCGGTTGCCTCCCGTACATGCCCCAGCTGAGGACTCAACCTGCAACCCAGGTATATACCCTACTGGAATTAAACCCACAATCACCTGGTGTATGGGATGACGCTTCAACCAACTGAGCAACCCGGCCACAGCTGAAGCAGATTTTAAAATAAGACAGTGAATCACAAACATTTTCTGGGAGAATGAACCTTCCATCTTCTTATAAACAGTAAGGCAGTCAAATGAATGTGAAAAACATCTGTTTCAATTATGACCAAGTTTCCTGCTCTCTTGCTTTCACATTGTATTTCAATATAGAAACACAACAAATGTTGGTGATGAAATTAGGTCCGACGCTAGGACAATTCTGGGGGAAGAGAAGTCTGTTATGCCTTAGGAGAAGTCTTGGTCCAAAAGTGATTTAGACTCTAGAAGAAATCACTCAGCTCCTTCCACTGCTGTTGTAGAAACAGGTTTCACATAGTATGGACCTTCACTCAGGTAAGTTCTGAGCCTCAAATAATTTGGGTTCCCAAAGATTTCTGCAACTGTCTTGGAATTGGCAAGTGCTTTCACCAGTTCATATTTGGCATCCTTTGAAACTTTGTCATGCTCCACGGACCGGTCCATCACATACTCTATAAAACCTGGACTGTTAAACATAAGCTTCTGAGCCCAGGGTTGGTTTGCAATGGCCTGAAATGGAAGGCAAAGAGAACACAATTCCTTTGAGCTTTAATAAGTTACGTTTGTTAGTGGGATGACACAATCCTTAGATAGAAATTTGGCAGCATGAGCCTTAAAAATATTAACTTTTTCAGAAAGAATATATGTACTCCTATATTTATAGCAGCACTATTTACAATAGCTAAGATCTGGAAACAACCCAAGTGCCCATCAGTAGACGAGTGGATAAAAGAGCTGTGGTACATGTACACAATGGAATATTATGCAGCTGTAAGAAAGAAAGATCTCGCCCTGGCCAGTTTTGCTCAGTGGTTAGAGCGTCGGCCTGCGGTCGGGAGAGACCCGGGTTCGGTTCCCGCTCAGGGCACGTACTTCGGTTGCAGTTTGTCCCCGGCCCTGGTTGGTCGTGCGGGTGGCAGCCACTCGATGTGTCCCTTCACGTCGATGTTTCTTACTCTCTCTCCTTTCCTCTCTCTCCCTCCCTCTCTATCTGTACAAAAAAATGGAAAAATATCCTCGGGTGAGGATAAAAAAAAAAAAAAAAAAAAAAAGAAAGAAAGATCTCTTATCATTTGAGATGACATGGAGGGACCTGGAGAGTATTATGCTAAGAGAAACAAACCAAGCAGAGAAAGACAGGTATCACATGATTTCACTTATTTGTGGAATATAATGAACTAAACAAACTGATGAACAAAACTGACCCTTAGACATAGAGGTAGGGTACAGACTGACAAACCCCAGAAGAGGTGATGTTGGAAGGGGGGGGAAGATAACTTATATGCATGTATGCATAACCAATGGACATAGACAACAAAGCTGGGGAAGGGGTGGGGGAGATGTAGAGGGTATCAATGGGGGAAAAAGGAGAAACATCTGTAACAAAAACGAATTAATAAAAGTAATTTTTTAAAAAAATTAACTTTTTGCCCAAGTAAATTTCCTCCTGGGAATCTAATTTGAGAAAATAATCTTGGGAACTTCTGGTCAAGATGGCGGGTAGGTAAACGCGGTATCGCGTCCTCCCACAACCACATCCAAGTTACAACTGAACTACAGAACAACCATCATTCAAAACTGCCTGAAATCAAGCTGAATGGAAGTCCTACAACTACGGAATTAAAGCAGCAGCCACATCTAGACTGGTAGGAGGGGCGGAGGGGGAGGGGCTGGTCCCACACCCTCGTGTAGCAGATAAAATCAGGAGAACACCTCGGCTGGGAAGGTCCTCCCTGAGGGCTGAGGGGTCCCCATCCCACACCAGGTGCCCTGCTCAGGGTTCCAGTGCCAGGAAGAGAATCCCCATAACTTCTGGCTGGAAAAACCAGCAGGAACTGAGGCTCAGAGAAGCTGACACGGCTGGAGCCCCAGACTTATCGGACTCTCTCCCTCTAAGCTCGGAGGGGATGCAGCTCGAGGGGCACCAGAGACATACAGGGAAGAACTGAGCTGTTTGGCACTGGAACGAGGGCTGGAGAGGGGGCTTTCTCGGGGACAAACGTGCTGTCAGAGGCCTTTGTTCCTTTGGTGAGCCCTTCTCTGGGGCGGCAGACAGCCACCATATCTGGGACTCCAGCAACCTGGCTCACACTGGTAGCCCCGCCCTGCTGACTCCCTGAGGCCATGCCCTGCCCCACCCAATTTTGAGGCCCACCCAAGCTGTTGCTACTTGCTTAACCATAGGATTGGCCTGTTTTGGATCCTGCTTCACGTTTTTCCTAAATTCTTTCAAACAAGCAGCATCTGATCTCAGCTAGCCCCATACCACTTGTTATGTAATACACAGAAATAAACACAGGGAGGCAGCCAAAATGAGGAGACAAAGGAACAGGTCCCAAATGAAAGAACAGAACAAAACCCCAAGAAAAGAACTAAGTGAAATGGAGATAAGCAACCTAACAGATGCTGAGTTTAAAATACTGCTTATAAGGATGCTCAATGAACTTAATGAGAACCTCAGTGAACTTAGTGAGGGCCTCAAGAGCATAAAAAAGGACCAGTCAGAAATGATGGATGCACAGTTAGAAATGAAGGAGGCATTAACTGAAATAAAGAATAACTTACACAGATTCAATAGTAGAGTACGTAAATCCAAGAAGCAAGCCATCGATTTGAAATATAAGGAAGCAAAAAACGCCCAATCAGAACAGCAAAAAGAAAAAAGAATCCAAAAAATGAGGATAGCGTAAGGAGCCTCTGGGACAACTTCAAGCGTGCCAACATTCACATCTTGGGGGTGCCAGAAGGAGAAGAGTGAAAACAAGAAATTAAAAACCTGTTTGAAACAATAATGGCAGAAAACTTTCCTAACTTGGTGAAGAAAACAGACATACAAGTCCAGGAAGCACAGAGTCCCAAACAAGATGAACCCCAAGAGGCCCACACCAAGACACATCATCATCAAAATTCAAAAGGTTCAAGACAAAGAGAGATCTTAAAAGCAGCAAGAGAAAGGCAGTTAGTTACCTACAAGGGAGTTCCCATAAGGCTGTCAGTTGATTTCTCAAAAGAAACTTTGCAGGCCAGAAGGGAATGGCAAGAAATATTCAGAGTGATGAAAAGCAAGACCCTACAACCAAGATTACTCTATCCTGCAAAGCTGTCATTTAGAATCGACGGCCATATAAAGAATTTCCCAGACAAGAAAAAGTTAAAGGAGTTCAGCATCACCACCAAACTGTTATTATATGAAATAATGAAGGGTCTTTTTGAAGAAAAAGATAAAATATATGAACAATCAAAATGGCAATGAATACATATCTATCGACAATGGAATCTACAAACAAAATGAACAGGCAGAGCAGAAACATTCTCATAGATACAGAGAACATTTTGTTGGTTGCCAGATGGGAGGGGGGTTGGGGGAATGGGTGAAAAAGGTGAAGGGATTAAGAAGTACAAATTCATTGCTACATTGACAAACCTCAAAGGGAAAGGGGTTGGGGGGTAGGAAGAAATAAACCAAAGAACTTATATGCATAACCAATGGACACAGACAATAGTGTGGGAAAAGGCGGGAGGGGGGCGGGAGTGGGGAGGAGGGGATCAATGGGGGAAAAATAAGGAACATCTGTAATACATTCTACATTCAACAATAAATATTAAGAAAAAAAAAAGAAAATAATCTTGCCCTGGACAGTTTTGCTCAGGGGTTAGAGCATTGGCCCACAGACCGAAGGGTCTCAGGTTCAATCCCCAGCCACAGTCAAGGTTGTGTGGGAGGCAACCAATCGATGTGTCTCTCTCACTTTAATGTTTCTCTCTTTCTCTCTACTTTTCTCCCTTCCATTCTACCTAAAAAAAGCAATAGAAAAATATCCTTGGGTGAGGATTAACAACCTCCACCAAAAGAAAGAAAACAATCTAAATGTTAAAAAAAAAATTGTATACAAAGATGTTCATCACAGTGTGACAGTTAAGATATAAATGTCTAATAATGAGGGGATGGATAAGTAAATTATGGTATATAGCAACAAAACATTAAATAAATATTAATAATAGTATCTATTAAAAATAAATAAATTTATTATATGAAAAAAATAGATCCAAATTATATACATGGCATAATTACAATAGAGGAAAAAATAAAAACTAGAGAAGAAAAGACTACCTGAAACTCTCATACATGTACATAAGATGGTATTTTCGCCCTGGCCGGTTTGGCTCAGCGGTTGGAGTGTCGTCCTGCGGTCCTGAGAGACCTGGGTTCGGTTCCCGCTAAGGGCGCGTGCCTCGGTTGCAGTTTGTCCCCGGCCCTGGTCGGTTGTGCGGGTGGCAGCCACTCGATGTGTTCCTTTCACATCGATGTTTCTCTCTCTCTCCCCCTTCCTCTCTCTCCCTCCCACTCTACCTGAACAAAAAAAAAAAAAAAAAAAAAAAGATGGTATTTTCTCTTCTTTTTTTATCCTCACCCGAAGATATGTTTATTGATTTGAGAGAGGAAAGGAGGATCCTGGGGGGGTGGGACATTGATGTTAGATAGAAACACATCTTGGATATGCCTGACTAGGGATTGAACCCGCAACCTAGGTATGTGCTCTGACTGGGAATTGAACCTGAAACCTACTGGTGTACAGGATAATGCTACAACCAACTGTGCTATCCAGCCAGGGCAAGATGGTATTTTCAAGAATGCTAATTGTAACATCATTTGTAATAGGTACTACCTAAATCTTCATTTACAGAATTATATATTGTGGCTATACAGTAAAATACTAATGACTTTCTAATTGCCTCTTTGGTATAGATTAATCTTAAAAACATAATTATTGAGGAGAAAAAGCAAATTGCAGAATGATAGGAACAGCATGACACCATTTACAGAGTTTAAGAATATGTACTACAATTTGTTTAAGGATATATACATATATAGTAAAAGTATAAAATGATTTGTGTGCTTATAAACCCTGAATTCATGACAGTGATTACATTCAGAGAAGCAGGAAAGAGAATGGGATTGGACAGAGGTAGCAAGGTATGACTGTATGTTTTAAATATTTCATCAACCAATCAAGCAAGCAATCAATATTAACACTAATACTAATAGGAAATACACCAAACAGGTATAACTTTATATCATTTAAAAAATGTCTACTTCTCCATCTTTTCCAAATTTTAAAATAATGAAAAAGCAATTTTTACATTGTTTTTAAAAAAATCTCACTACTACATTTTAATGAAGAACACGGAATAATCAAGTCTATAGCTTAGTTCCTTCCTCCCTAAATGTGTTCTGCAGACCAGCAGCAGAAGTATCACTTGGTAGCTTGTATGAAATTCAGGATCTCAGGCTCCATCCTAGAATCACTGAATCAAAATCCATGTTTTAACAAGATCTTAAGGTTTGAGAAAGATCAGCCTAGTTAACAACAGTCGAGGATGAAGGCTGGGCTGAAATAAAAACAGCTGTCCCCAACAAGTAAATAAAAATTACTTCCACAATTGTGGCCAACTAAATACAACATAATGTAGAAGAGTGTATGTGTGTGTGTGTGTGTGGGGGGGGTAATGTAATAATGAGAATATCAAGACAGGAGTCAAAATAACCACTGCAGTAACTTTTGGCAAGGGTAAATCAATCTAAAGACAATGTTCTTGAAGTTGACAGAAACACTGTATACTTCAAGACCCAGATCATGTATCACATCCTTCAGGCAGTCTTCCCTTCCTTGTTACCTCCACTCTCCTTGTTCCCTGCCTGGGTAGGACAAACATATTGCTTGAGATCCCATTAAGATTACTAATGTCATTACTATATTTCACAAGCCTAGCTACCATTGTAAGTGCTGGGGCCACAAAGATAAATCAGGTATGGTTCCTATTCTCAACAAACTCTGTTTAACAGGTCAAGAAATAAACATTTTCAACATAATGTAATAAATAGAACACAGAGATATAAGCCTTACCACAATTCTAATTATATAATTAACTATACAATTATATTTACTGTCTGGGTCCCTCAACAGACAGTGAGCTACATGAAAGGAAGGTCTTTGTATATTTTGTTCACTACTGTATCCCTAGTACCTAGAAAAAAAGAAAAAGAAAAAAGAAACTCAACCAAATATTTGCTGAATGAATGGATAAATGCAAAGTATGAGAGTCAACATTTCTTAACTCAACCTTGTCAGTTTGGGCAAAGCTTACTGAAGAGATACCTGAGCTAGTCCTTGAAGTATGAATAAGATGTTAACAAGCAAAGTCAGGGAAGAGTGCTGAAAGCAGAGAGCACACAAAAGTCTAGAGATATGAAGCAAGCAGTCTGGTATCACTAGAGCATTAAGCGCCAGAAGGGCAATGGCTGGAAATAAGGCTCAGGAAGAAGACCAGGCTGGCTCAATAAAGGCTTGCTTGATGGTAGATAAGGAATCTGGAATGAATTCTGTGATCTCATAGCACTCTGTGCTCTGCCACAGCATCTAATACCATTTACTGAAACAATCTATATATACATCTGTTATAGCAATAGCAGAGGCGAGAAACTACTATGCACTTGTATATCTCTGGGACTTGGCAGAAGGCCTGGCTAATTGAAAGTACTCATGTGGTGGACAGGCAGAGTCCCGGAAGGACCTGTGGAAATGGAGAGGATGCCTACCGTGAACACTTTTAAGGCAGCACAGTGTAGTTCAGGAAAGGGTTGATTACTGATGCCACGGAAGAGCTCCAATGGGTCTCGGGATAAAGAAGAAAACCAGGATTCTGTCATCCTCAGGAGGTCATCAGTTTGTTGCTCAGGCTACAGGACAGAAAATAAAAATCTCAAGACATCTGAAAGACAGGAGACCTGGGTTCTGATGGCACTCTGCCATAACTTGCTGTGTGATTTCTGCCAAGTCTGGAGCACTTTTCCCCAAACCCAGCCCAGATTTTCCCAGTCTTTTTGAATAAAGTTGATTAAGCAATCTCTAGGGTCTGCTCCAGTCCCATATTCTACGATTCCACTTCAAAAATGTCACTAGTCATACGAGGTTATCCTCTTTCACTAAGAGTTACGAAAGATGGCATTTATTTGGTCAACATTTATATTATATTAACCAGTATTATGTTTTGACTCATACAGATTTATTCTCCCAAACATTATCCTTCATTAATTTCCCATTCTACTTACTGGTAAATAAAGAAGAGATGAAACTGCATCCAAACACCTAATTTTGAGCTCCGTTGAGGCATTTTTTGCTTGATATCCTATTCTCATGAGTAAGTGTTCAAATCGAGTTCCTTTGAAGAATACCAAGATAGTTTTTGTTGTAAAATACAAATAACATAAAATGTACCATTTTAAAGCACAGCTCAGTGGCATAAGTACATTCACACTGTTTTGCAACCATCAACACCATCCATCTCCAGAACTTTATTTCAAATAGAAAGTCATACTCATTAAATAATAACTCCCCATTCTTCCCTATCCCCATCTCCTGGTAACCCCTATTCTAGTTCTTATTTCTATGTATTTGACCATTTAGGTACCTTGTATAAGTGCAATTATATAGTAGTTATCCTTTTGTGTCTGGCTTATTTCATTCAACATGTCTTCAAGGTTTCTCCATGTTGTAGCATGTATGAGAATTTCATTCATTTTTAAGGTTGAATAACATTCCATTGTATGTACATACCACATTTTGTTTATCCTTCTTTCATCCATCAATGAATAGTTGGGTCATTTCTACCCTTTTTGGCTATTTTGAATAACAGCTGTTAATGAACATAGGTGTACAAACATCTATTAGAGTTTGTTTTCAATTCTTTTGGGTATATACATAGAAGTGGAATTGCTGAATCATATGGTAATTCTACATTTAATTTTTTGAGAAATCACCACACTGTTTTCCATATTGACCACACTATTTATATTCCTACCAATATGCACAAGTATAAAATACAAATAACATAAAATTTCTCACATTCTTTCAATACTTTTAAAAACAAATACGTTTTTATTGATTTTTTAGAGAGAGAAGGAGAGAGAGAAATATCAATCGGCTGCCTCCTGCATGCCCATTACTAGGGATCAAGCCCGCAACCCAGGCATGTGCCTTGACCGGGAATCAAACTGGGACCTCTCAGTCCATGGGATATCTTAATTTTTGACAAGGATTCAAATATATAAGTTAATTGGCTGGTACATTAATTGCTTTGTAGAAACTTTTACATATGGCAGTCTTTTTACCATGACCTTGGAATCATCCGTAAAATGTCTCATAATTATTAGTGAAATTTTTTAAAACTTGGCTGGCCCAAACACTCTTTCCTTTCTACATCTTCCTTAACTAGTATTCATGGTACAAAGAGCATAGGCTGGATTCAGAAAGACCTGGGTTCACGTGCCAGTTCTAACATTGACTTAGTTTTCTGAATTTTATTGACTCACTTCACCACTCTAGGCCTTATTTTCCTCATTTTAAAAAAAGGGTATAACAACTACTTCTCAGGGTTGTTGTGAATATTTAATGAAAAGACCCATTTTTATATTTGTAAAGTCAAGGAAGGAAAAAGATAAAAAATTTGTTACAAGATGTTAAGAGTGATACTTTTATGGAACATCTATCTACGAGTACCTTAAAAGCACTATGAATCTGACCCTCCCAAAAATAATGTATAGCACTGTTAGAACTCTTGGATATATATGTTCAAAATATATTGTTGTGTACCACAACTAGTATCTTTGTATATGTACTTTTCTAAGTGCTTTTACCTATGACACAGAATCTTTCTATAATCCTTCAAAGAACATATAGAGCTGATAGTCTCATTTTACAGATAAGGTAGCTGAAACTCAGAGAAGTTAAAAGTTTCTAAGGTCATACAGACTGGGGCAGCTGCTACTCAAATCCAGGTCCTTTGATTACTAATCTTCTACACTTTGACTTACATATGCTATTGCATATGAATATGTGTTATAAGCTTCTTACTTGGTCTCTACCTACATGTTTATTTTTATGTTGGTTTAGATTGGTAGGGGTAAGGGTCATAGTATATGAAAGCAAAGCATACTTTAAAAAATCTCACTGTTCACTTAATACCCATTGAGATGGCTATTATTTTTTTTTAAAAGTGCTCAGCTGGTGTGGCTCAGTGGATTGAGCATTGCCCCATGCACCAAGATGTCGCCGTTTTGATTCCCAGTCAGGTACATGCTCAAGTTGCAGGCTTGATCCTCAGTAAGGGGTGTGCAGGAGGCCACCAATAGATGTTTCTCTCTCTCTCCACACCCCTCTAAAATCAATAAAGACATAATGAAAGAAAATTTTAAAAAATTAAGATATCCTTAAAGAAAATAAAAACAAGTCATATCAACCTGTCTTTTGTAAAACCTGTTTTCCTTCAACATTGGATCCCAGGATTCCAATCGTGTCCACTGCTACACCAATCATGGTGGGGTCCTGACTTTCTGTCATTTCAAAGACTTTTTCCACAAAAACAGGAAAACGTTCACAGATCTGTTGAGGACTATCCATGATAGCCAGGTTTCCAAAAAACTTCACAAATCCTAGAGATAGTTACAAAAATATTTTTAATAGGGGAAGAAGACAGCATAAATTGTGGGTCCTATGTTTTCATAGAGACAGTAATAAATTTCAGGCCAGAGAAAGAAAGGCAACGGTACTGTGTTGCCTGAAAATCAGACAGACCATAAGTAAATATTGAAGGACCTGAAACGTGTGGTCCCCCCAGGGTGTTAATGGAGCTGGGTCCAAATACTGAAGCACTGTCACATGCAAGAGGGAGAACAAAGAACAAGGATCAGTGGATATGAATCACAGGAAGTTAAGGTTGGAGTCATTAGTAGGAAGAAATTTTAAAACAGGATTTCTTCAATGGATCTAGGCTACCTAATGAAGGAATAAATCTCCAATTTCTAGAAGTGCTCAAGAAAAACTAATCAACCATATCTTTGAACAGAATGGCTGGAATAGTTCCTATCTTAGCTACGATTACAACTCAGAGATTTGATGAATCTGTGAATATACTGTAAATATCACTACTATTTTTATTTATGTTTCTTTTGGTTGAAATGCAAAGGAAACTATCCTAATGCTCTAAACAGGAGCACTTCCAGAATCAACAGTGCAAGGCTCCCACAGCAGAGATTCTCCCTCATTAAGGGCTATAAGTTGGGGTTTCATCTCAAGGGAATAAGCTCTAAACATGATCCCTGGCCTGCCCTGACAGAAACAAAACATGTACCCATCATTTCCACAGGCATCAAAATGTCTTACCTGGCAAATAGAAGCTAGAGAAAGGGTCTGAATCTGCCCCAACAATTATATTAGATATCTGATCAATTACTCCTTCTTGAGCAAGGTACTGTCGTCCATGATGAGTATGTGCCAGCGATGTCACCATTTCTATACAGGTGGCTCTGAAATGCCAAGATTTTCCATATGATTAGCATGGTTTATAAATTGTTTATATGTAGGTTATCTTATTTAACTCTTCCCACAAAATCTGGAAGGTCACTAATCCTAGCTCTACTTTTCAGATGAGGGTACAGGATGAAAAACCGGCAGTGACTTGTCCAGAATCACATTATTACAATGCAGAGTTTAGACTTACATCTTGACTTTCTGACTTAAGGTCCGCTTATTGTTTCTACTATAACATAGCTACTTACTAAGAGATTTTTAAAAATTTTGTTTTATTTTGAAATGTCAAACATATACAAAAGTAAAGAGAACAGAACAGTAAGCCCCTGGGTATCCATAATCCTCACTGTATAGTTATCAAAATTTTGCTTAGCTTATTTCATCTTTTTCTCTATTTTTTGCTGATTATTATTAATTAATAATAATAATTATTATTATTTTTATCCTCACTTGAGGACATTTTTACATTTATCTTCAGATACAGCGGGAGGGAGAGAGTGAGGAAGAGAGAGAGACAGAAACATCGATGTGAGAGAGACACATCGACTGGTTGCCACCTGCACTGCCCCAACCGGGGCCAGGGAATAACCGTAACCCAAGGTATGTGCCCTTAGCGGGAACAGAAGCCAACGCTCTAACTGCTGAGCCAAACTGGCCATGGCTTGCTGAATTACTTTAAAGCTAGTTCTAGTCATCATGCCATTGACCCCATAGTATACACCTCTAAAAATATAAATATATTCTCACACAATTATGCCTTTACCACATATTTAAAAATTAATAGTAATTCTTTGGTATCACCTGATACCCAACCATGATCAAATTTTCCCAAGAAACTAAAAAAGTATTTTTATAGTTGATCCTAAGGTATTTTGAATGACTATTTGCAAGGTTTTTTTCCTATGTCACAAAATCTAATACATAGCTAAAAACATTAACAAAATTAATTTCCTTATTAGAAATGCTTTGAAACAGTGTAACTGGTGACTAATTTTTGCATATGAGTAACAATTTCAGTCACATTTAAAGAACTAGGACAACCAGAAAATCATTTAAGGAAAACAAAATCCTTTGTAACTATTGTGCTTTTATAACAGCAAAATACTTGAAGCACACCAAGTGTTCAACAATGAGGATGTATCAGTCAATTGTGGATATCAACCACAAATATTTGACAAATATTAAAGGGAATTAAGGGAGTAGACGGCGGGGAGTGGTAAGACTGGAATTAACATTTCTTTGAGGACCTATGTCAGCCATTGTATTGATTCCTAGAGTAAATGCACATAATCCTCATATTATCTTTTTTTTTTTTTAACTTATCTTTATTGTTGATGTATTACAGATGTCCCTCTTTTTCCCTCCCTTGTCCCACCCGCTTTCCCCACACTATTGTCTGTGTCTATTGGTTATGCATATAAGTTCTTTGTTTCTCTCTTCCAGCCCCACCTCCCCCATTCCCTTTGAGGTTCATCAGTCTTAACAACCCATTTGTATTTCCTAATCCCTTCATCTTTTTCACCCAACTTCCCTCCCATATAGCAACCAACAAAAAGTTATCTGTATTTATGAGCTATTTCTGTTCTGCTTGTTCATTTTGTTTGTAAATTCAATTGTTGATAGATAGGTATTTATTGCCATTCTATTGTTCGTTATTTTTTTATCTTCTTCAAGATGACCCGTCAATATTTCATATAATACTGGTCTGGTACTGATGAACTCCTTTCGCTTTTTCTTGTCTGGGAAATTCTTTATATGTCTATCGATTCGAAATAATAGCTTTGGAGGATAGAGTAATCTTGGTTGTAGGTCCTTGTTTTTCATCACTTTAAATATTTCTTGCCACTCCCTCCTGGCCTGCAAAGTTTCTTTTGGGAAGCTGGCTGATAGCCTTGTTAGAGCTCCCTTGTGGGTAACGAACTGCTTTTCTCTTGCTGCTTTTAAGATTCTCTTTTTGTCTTTAACCTTTTGCATTTTGTTGATGCTATGTCTTGGTGCAGACGTCTTTGCGTTCATCTTGTTAGGGACTCTCTGCTACCTGGACTTGTATATCTGTTTCCTTCACCAAGTTAGGAAAGCTTTCTGTCATTATTTTTTCAAATAAGTTTTCAATTTCTTGTCCTCTCTCTTCTTCCGGCACTCTCAAGATGCGAATGCTGGTACACTTGAAGTTATCCCACAGGCTCCTTATACTATCCTCATTTTTTTGGATTTTTTTTTTCTTTTTGCTGTTCTGATTGGGTGTTTTTTGCTTCCTTGTATTTCAAATCGATGGTTTGCTTCTTGGCTTCACTTACTCTACTATTGATTCCCTGTAAATTATCCTTTATTTCGTTTAGTGCATCCTTCATTTCTGACTGGTCCTTTATTATGCTCTTGAGGGCCCTCACTAAGTTCATTGAGCATTCTTTTCTCTTTTTTTTTATCCTCACCCGAGGACATTTTTCCATTTTTTGCAGATAGAGTGGGAGGGAGAGAGAAGAAGAGAGAGAGAGAGAGAGAAACATCGATGTGAAAGGGACACATCGAGTGGCTGCCACCCGCACGACCAACCAGGGCCGGGGACAAACTGCAACCGAGGTACATGCCCTTAGCAGGAACCGAACCCGGGTCTCTCCGGACCGCAGGTGGATGCTCTAACCACTGAGCCAAACCGGCCAGGGCCATTGAGCATTCTTATAAGCAGTGTTTTGAACTCTGCATCTGTTAAGATTGCTTATCTCCATTTCATTTAGTTCTTTTCCTGGAGTTTTGTTCTGTTTTTTTCATTTGGGACATGTTTCTTTGTCCCTCATTTTGGCTACCTCCCTGTGTTTGTTTCTATGTATCAGGTAGAGTTGCTATGTCTCCTAGGTTTCCTAGGGTGACCTGTAGTAGGTGTCCTGTAGGGTTCAGTGGCATAGCCTCCCTGATCACCAGCTGGGCCTTTGAGGTGAACCCCTCATGTGGACTTTACACCCATCAATTGGAGGGTTTTACACAGGCTGATCAGCTGTGCAGGGGCCCACCACACAGAGCAAGACTTACTTCAGCAGAGCTCTCATACCCTCTGAGTCCATTCCTTAAGATTGTTACTTGTGGAGAAGGTTGGGTGGTGGCGCTTTGACAAGGTATGAAGCTATCCACTGGGTGTGCTAGCTCTGGGGTCAAGTCAGCCACTGCCTGTGTTCCACCCAGGGCCACCAGGCATAAGCTACAAAGCAATCTGCAGATGGCTGCTTCTTGTGCTGGGTTTGGAGGTGCCCAGGCAAAGCCAAGCTGGGAACCAAGCCTGGCTGCTTCTAATGCTGGGTCTGGGGCCACTTAGTGAGAGGTATGGGGCTCGCTGTGGCCAGATGCTGCTTGTGTGAGAGAATTTAGGAAAATCTGAAGCAGGAGCCCAAACAGGCCAATCCTATGGTAAAGCCACTGGAAACAGCTTGGGTAGGTGTGAAAGTTGGGTGGGGCAAGGCCTCAGGGAATAACCAGGGTGGAGCAAACAGTATAAGCCAGGTTGTTGGGAGTCCCAGATAAGGTGGCCATCTGCCCATCCATTGGGGGAAGGGCTCACAAAGGAACAAAGGCCTTCACCAGCACGTCTGTTCAGGAGAAAGCTGCCTCACCAGTCTTCGCCCCATGCCAAAACTCAGTTCTTCCCCGTATGTCTCTGGTGCCTTTCAAGCTGCCTCCCCCATGCTGGAGCCTGGAAGGTGTGAGTCCAGGCAAGTCCACACACAGGCCCTTTAAGAGGAGCTGTCTGGGGCTCCAGCAGCCTCAGCCTCCCTCAGCCTCAGCTCCCACTGGTTTTTATAGCCAGAAGTCATGGGGACTTCTCTTCCTGGTACTGGAACCCTGAGCTGGGCACCTGGTGTGGGATGGGGACCCCTTGCTCCTTAGGGAGGACCTTCACAGCTGAGGTAGTCCTCCTGATTTTTATCCACCACACGTGGGTGTGGGACCAGCCCATCTACACCTGTGCCCCTTCTACCAGTCTCGATGTGGCTTCTTCTTTAATTCCATAGTTGTAGGACTTCCATTCAGCTCGATTTCAGGTGGTTCTGAAGGATGTCTGTTCTGTAGTTTAGTTGTAATTCTGACATGGTTGTGGAAGGAGGCGACACTGCGTTTACCTATGCCACCATCTTGACCATATTATCTTCTTTATAGATTTGTCATTGTTCCGTTTAGATGAGGAAACTTGAGGTGCAAAATGGTTACAATGATTTGTCCAAAGTCAAACAGCAAATTAGTAGAGATGCATGCAAACCGAAGTCTTACTCATTTTCAAAAGTCGATGTTTTCCTATCATGCCATAGTGCTATTATTTAACACCACCACAAAATGTGCATGGTAGCACATTAAGTAATGCAACACAGCAGTCATTATGTGATTACAAATTTTAAAAAGCAAACATGTATGCCTAAGGACAGCAAACACAGTCATTCGAAAGTAGCTGTACTGTCATATGGGGCTTTGCTAAGTTCCAGTACGTTGTCACAGTTATCACTTGAGCAATCTTCTAACGGCCCCTTCTTCAAAACACACATTTGACCTGAGACTGCAACCTGGGCACAAGCTTCACTAGGGAAGATAAGTCCCAAGCTTGTTTCCTGGCCCTCCAAAGGAGGGCATTTCGCTCTAAGAATTCTCTCAAACAACATACCTGACCAGCACATCCTCCCCAGTCAGCTCTTTGAGGAGTTGGGTTACCAACCCACTGGTGGTACAGTAGTTTAGAGAGTCTGGTGACACAGAAGAGATCTCCACAATCAGCTAAAAGAAAGAAAAGCAGAAAGGTCAAAACAGCCCAAACTTATTAAATCTCATTTCATGTTAAATTCAGGACTAGGCACCTTACATGAATTTTTAAAAATCCATTATGTAGCCCTGGCCAGTTTTGCTCAGTGGTTAGAACATCAGCCCATGGACCAAAGAGTCATGGGTTTGATTCTGGTCAAGGGCACATACCTTGGCTGCTGTTCAATCCCTAGCCCTGGTTGGGTTGGAGTGGGAGGCAACCAATAGATGAGTCTCTCTCACATCAGTATTTTTTTTTTCTCTCTCTCTCTCTCCCTCCCTCACTCCCACTCTATCTGAAAATCAATAGAGAAATATCCTCAGATAAGGATTAAAAAAAAATCCATTATCTCCACAAGCAGGAAAATCTCATTGAACACCTAAAAAATTATTTTGGGTCCCGGCCGAGTGGCTCACTTGGTTGGAGCACGATCGTGTACACCAAAAGTTTGTGGGTTTCAGTCCCAGTCAATACACATACCTAGGTTGCGGGTTCAATTCCCAGTCAGGCACATACAAGAGGCAACCAATTGACATTGATGTTCCTCTCCCTCCCTTCTCTCTCTAAAATCAATGAAAGAGATCCTTGTGTGAGCAAAAACAAAGAAAGAAAGAAATTATTTTGGCACAGTACAGTACTCCATTATATCTGGGTGTATCTGCACTTTTTACAAAAGAAATCATTAAGGTACAAAAGCCTGAATCAGCATCAATAAACAGATTGTAAAAATCATTCATTCATTCATGCATGCACGCATTCTGTCAGTCAGTCACTCATTCATCAAGTATGTTCTGAGGGTTTACTGAGAGATATAGGACACTAAAGGATTTCAAGCAGAGAAATGACAGAACCAGATTTTTATTTTTTTTAAACTTTAAAAAAAATCTTCACCTGAAGATATGTTTATTGATTTTAGAGAGGAAGGGAGAGAGAAACATCGACTGGTTGCTTCTTGTATGTACCTGATTGGGGATTGAACCCGAAACCTAGGTATGTGCCCTGATTGGGAATTGAACTGCAACCTCTTGGTGTATGGGATGACACTCCAACTAACAGAGCCACATGGCCAGGGTCAGATTTGGATTTTTAAAAGACAATTCTAACTGCATGTGAAGATAAACTAGTGATGACAAAAATGGATGAGAGAACCAGTTCGGATGAAAATATAATAGTCCAGGTGAGAAATATTGGTATCTTAGACTAGGGTGTTGGTAGCTAGATCAAGGAAGAGCAATGCTTGGGTTTAAGAAAAACTGACACAACATGATGGCTGAATGGATATGTGGCCAGGAGAACAAGGCCTCATATAGAATGAACTGGGAGTCTAATACCCAATCACATGGACTATGAGACAGAGCCAGTTTGCTGTTGCTGTTTTTTATGAAGGACATGTGGTGGGTGGAAAAGATCAGGAGTTTGATTCCAACATGAGTGTGAGGGGCCTAGAATATGTCCAAGGCGGAGAGAGTGAGTAAGTTGGACATCAAGGTCTGAGCTCAGAAGAGAGGTCTGGGCTGGAGGTTTACATTTGAAGAGTCATCACAATTATAGATGGGAACTAAAATCACAGGATAAATAAAATTTCCTAAAAGTAAATAGATTATAGGGAGGAGAGTTTGGGACTCTGCCTTCACAAACCCCAACAATTAAAAACTTTTTTTCTTTATTGATCTTTAGAGGAGAGGAAAGGAAAGGGAGAGAGATAGAAACATCGATGAGAGAGAACATTGACTGGCCACCTCCTGCATGCCCCCCACTGGGGATTTGGTCCACAACCTGGGCATGTGGCCTGACCGGGAATCGAACCTGCGACCTCTTGGTGCATGGGTCAACGCTCAACCAGTGAGCAACACCAGCTGGGCTAAACCCCAACAATTAAATAGTGCAATAGAGAGTAATGAGCCAGGAGACTTAGAAGAAATAGCTAGAGAGGCAGAAGGAAAACCAGGATAGCTTGGAAGCAAGGCATGCATAGTAATTACGTATTCTGAAGCCCTGGCCAGTTTGGCTCAGCAGTTAGAGCATCAGCCCACAGACTGAAGAGTTGTGGGTTTGATTCTGGTCAAGGGCATGTACCTCAGCTGCAGTTTGTCCCTGGCCCTGGTGGGGTTGTACAGGAGGCAACCAGTTGATATGTCTCTCTCACCCACTCTATCTGATAGATAATAAATGGAGGAACATCCTCGAGTGAGGATTTAAAAAAGAAAGTGTTTTGAAGAGGGAATTAGAATGTAGAGGATTTGTTTTAAATATGCAGCTTATTAACTGTGTGGCCTTGGGTCAATTACTCCATTAACAATGAGGTTCATGATAATGATATACATACAGGGTTTTCTGTGAGAACCAAAAACAATACATGTTAGGATTTAGCACAGTACTTAGTACAAAGCTGGTACAAATGAGAAGCATTTCTTCTTACTACTACTACTACAACTAAGTTTCTCAAAGTCTAGCTTCAATGTTATCTCTTCTACTATAGTACTTAATAAAGCAGTATACTTTTATTTTATTTTATTTTTTGGTGTGTGCCCCTAGCGGGAACAAAACCCAAGACTCTCTGGTCCGCAGGCCGATGCTCCAATCGCTGAGCCAAACCAGCTAGGGCTCATATTTTTATATGACTGTCTCACACATTAGGTGGGGAGTTCATCCCTATACCCCCAATACTATAGGGCCTCACTGACTATATACTCAATAAATGTATATTTAATGAGCCATCTTGCCTTCCAAGTAACCCTCACTGCATTCTAATTTGTAGGAGGCAGAAGGTGTGCTTTTCATCTTACCTCATAGACCCTGTATCGAACAATATCATTAGTTTTCATTACAGTTTTCAAATTATCCAGCAAATTGCTTTCAAATAAAGCCTCTAGTCCAGCTTGGGTCAGTGATATTCTTGACAGGGATTTAATGGCCTATAAGGAGAGAAAATATCTCTTAAGTCATCAAAATACAAAACATTAAAATCTACTTCAGAAGATTGATGTGAAAATTAATGTATGGAATGCACCTTATCCAATGAGCATTCACTACATTTTAGCTATTACTATTTATAATCGGAAAAGATACATAGTAGTCTCAATAGAAAATATGTAACTTTTGCTTCTTAAAAAGTAACCCTGTGTAAACCCTATGAGGGATAATTGAGATATGTATATTCTAGAAAATAGAGGGGGTTTATCACCTCTCAATCCAGAAAGCCTTTCTTTGTCTTTTAGAACACTAATATCTCTGCATGTTTAAGCTGATGGTTCTTGCTAACTCACCGCTTTAGCTACAGATAGATTCTCTCCACCAATACAATAAATTATTTGTTTTAGTAATTCAGGATTATTTAGAATCTCAGTAACAGCATCAGAATTTTCAACAATTCTTCCAACCTGAAAGAAAAAAAAAATCAGAAATATTCTTCCAAGGTAGGGCAGCAGGTGAACACATGATGGTCAAATTACTGTAATGTATAGTTATTTTAAGAGTTACTGATTACAACTATAAGACAAGTCATTAAAAATTCTGAATGACCCTAATTTATTAAAGCCAAACACACAAATGGCAGAGTCACATCTTTGAAAGGAAAAAAAAGTGGGTAAAGACTTGAGACGCCTCAGTGAGTAAAAACAAAAAAAATCCTAGTTCTATTCATTTTTAGCTGCACTGAAATGCTGGGTAAATTAAATAACTTCTCTGAGCCTAATTTCTTGTCTATAAAATAGATACTTAAGTGTAGGATAGTAATGAAGATTAATGAGACTAAATAGATGAAGAATATATTACAGTGTCTGGCACATAAATAATAAATCGACTATTTCCCCAATTTGTTGAATAAAAACTTTATAGAAGAGGAAAGAAAAAAACAGTAGTTGAATACCTACTGGATAAATTAATTGCTCAGCTCCTAACATTCTCAGCAGCAGTTTTTCATTCAAATAGTAGTATGTTTTGATTGCCAAGGTGATAGGAGTTACTGTTTTAGTTTGTTGGTTTAGTGACCTTTACAGTAAAACTTCATTCATGCCACTATAATAAGACTTAACGTGGCAATCTTTTTCTCAAAACTAGGGGGTCCTTTAAGAAAAGAAATAAGCTTTATTTATCTTGGTAGCTCTAACAGCAGACGTTACAGTGCCTGGCATGTAAAAGTAACTTAGTAATTGATGAAAGAATGATGCTATTGGTACTTAGAACTTCTTACTTTGGCTTGTATCCCCCTGGTCATAGTTAGCTATGTACACTAGAATAGAGTAGACAGTCCCTAGGGACAAAGAGAGATCATGTTTTCTTCATCTCTCTGCACAGAGCCTAGCCCAGAGCAGGTGGTCACTAAGTGTTGCTTCCCCTTATTATGTGCTAGCAAAATTTCATACCTGAGATAGAGTGAGGATTTTTACGGAATCATTGGGGTGAGTCAGTCCCCTCTGCAGGTTAACCCTTAGGTCCCGGGCCACGTGAACTGGCTCCAGAGCTTGGAGCAATCTCTCCAGAATGGATACACACAAAGTAATCTGTTCCCTAAAGGAGACACCATAGACCTCATTAATTCATGTCCTGTCAGGTAGAATCTAATGATATCTGACACCTGGCTCAATGAGGATCTCCACACAGACTTCTATTTGAAACATCAGCTTTTACTTTAACATTAAATGTTTATGCCTGGCCAGTGTGGCTCACTGGTTGAGCACTGACCCAGGCACCAAGAGGATGCTGGTTAGATTCTTGGTCAGGGCACATGCCCAGGTTGTGGGCCCGATCCCCAGTGGGGTCATGCAGGAGGCGGCCAGTCGATGTTCTCTCTCATTGATGTTTCTCTCTCTCTCTCTCAAATCAATAAAATAAATAAATAAATACATGTTCATTAAACATTTACTAAGTACCTATTATGTGCCATGCCTGTGCTAGGACTACAGAGAATGGTAAGATATATTCTATAACCTCAAGGAACTCAGTCTAGTCGAAGATGCACTAAAATAGGCAACTATAATCCAGGTAGATAAATGCTAAGTTAGAGCTGGAAGCTGTGGGAATAAAGAACAAAGGAGCCCTGGCCAGTTTGACTCAGCGGTAGAGCGTCGGCCTGCGGTCCAGAGACCCGGGTGCTGGGGGCACGTGCCTCGGTTGCAGTTTGTCCCCGGCCCTGGTTGGGTCGTGCGGGTGGCAGCCACTCAATGTGTCCCTTTCGCGCCCATGTTTCTCCCTCTCTCTCCCTCCCCACTCTATATGAACAAAAAATGGAAAAATGTCCTTGGGTGAGGATAAAAAAAAAAAAGAACAAAGGGTACAGAGTATACCTGAGCAAAATTTTGAGAAAAAGTGAGTTACCTAAGAGAAGAAAGGTATTCCAGGTAAAAGGCACAGTAGCACATGAAAAGGCACAGAAGAAGGAGACAGTGTTATGCATTCAAGGAACCACAAGTAACTTGGTATGACTGGAGTCAGAATGGTAGAGAAGTAGGAAGAAGGTAAAAGGAGGGAGATGAATGGAAAGAAATTAAATTTAAAAAATACAGAGCAGTCAGATTTTGATAGGTCTTTTATGTCCTACTATGGAAGTCTGCCTTTTTTCAGAAGGCAATGGCAAGTCAAGAAGTGGTTTTAAAGCAGAAGTAACATGATGAGATCTGACTTACAGAAATCACTCTGCATCAGTGTTAGAGAAAGAACTTTCAATAGGAAGGCAGTTTATGGTAAGGTGATGAAATAGTGAAAGAGATGAATAGCAATGGGGATGGAGAAGAGAGAAAAGGTTCAAGAACTGTTAAAGAGGTAAATCAATCAGAACTTGATGACTACCAGATGTAGATGTAATTTCAAGAATAACTTCCTTGTCTCTTAATAGGTAATAAAAGAAACTGAGCACTAATACACTGCTAATAGGGAGCATATTATTAAACTGGTATGATCTTGCTAAAAGGTGATTAAGCAATAAAAGGCTTTCTTAAAAATGAATGTATCACCAAGATCACTGAAAACATGTTCACACAAAAATGTGTATATGAATGTTTATAGCAGTGGAAATAACTCAAATGCCCATAAATTAAATGCATAAATGTGGTATAGCCACAAAAGGAAATATTATTCAACCATAAAAAGGAATGAAGTAGTGATGCATGCTACAACATGAACCTTGAAAATATTATGCTAAGTGAAAGAAGCGAGACAGACACAAAAGGCTTTCTTTTTTTTTTTTTAATCCTCACCCGAGGACATTTTTCCATTTTTTGTACAGATAGAGTGGGAGGGAGAAAGAGGGGGAGGGAGGGAGGGGGGGAGGGAGGGAGGGGGAGAGAGAGAGAGAGAGAGAGAGAAACATCGACGTGAAAGGGACACATCAAGTGGCTGCCACCCGCACGACCAACCAGGGCCGGGGACAAACTGCAACCAAGGTACATGCCCTTAGCGGGAACCGAACCCGGGTCTCTCCGGACCGCAGGCCGATACTCTAACGGCTGAGCCAAACCGGCCAGGGCCAAAAGGCTTTCTTTTGATGATGATTCTATTTACATAAAATGTCCAGAATAGACAAATCCAGAGACAGAAAGCATATCACTGGCCACGAGGAGCTGGGGAAGGAGATAAAGAGGAGAAATGGGGAGAGACTGCTAATGGGTTTCTTTTCCTCTTAAAAATTTTGGCCCTGATCAGGCAGCTCAGTGGTTTTGAGTGTTGTCCGCCAAGGTTGTAGGTTCGATCTCCGGTCAAGTCACATACAAGAATCAACCACTGTATGCATAAAGAAGTGGAATAACAAATTGATGTCTCTGTCTCTCTCTCCTTTCCTCTCGCTCTAAAAATCAATCAATAAACACAGCAATTGTACATACCATAAAATGCAGTCCTGTTGACATTAAGTACATTCACAATGTTGTACAATCACCACCAGTATCCACCTCCAGAATTTTTTCATCTTCCATTAAAACTGAAACTCTGTATCCATTAAACACTAACTCCTCATTTTCCCTTTTCCTCAGCCCCTGGTGACCACCTTTCTATGTTCTCTCTGTGAATCTGACTATTCTAGGTACTGCATATGAGTGAGATCATACAATACTTTCAAGGAGAAAATTTCTGGATCAAATATATTTTTAAACTCTTCTAAATTATAAAATACAAAGTGTTTTTTTAGTCAAACACCACAGATGTGCACAAAAAGAAAAGTTACCATCCTATTCTTCTAAGTTCCACTTCCATATTAATGGTTTCTGCTTTATCTTAAAGATATCTCCAATTTATACCAGCCTGTGTGTGTGTGTGTGGGGGGGGGGGTTGTAATTCTTTTCAAAATTACTCATAATGGAATCATCAACTCCTATAATTCCTCACTCAACACAAATGAGATCTTTACCTGTCCACATATATAGATCTACCTCACCTTTTCTAATAAATGCATAGTGTTACACATTAATGTGTCAAATTGTATTTAGAATCCCTTTTTAATGGATATTTAGGTTGTTTCTAGTTTTTTTTGGTCACTTTCTGTTAGAATAGTTCTGTATATACATTTTATGAGTGAATATACCTGCATGTTAAATTCTTATAACAGGAATCTGCCCTGGCCGGTTTGGTTCAGTTCCCGCTAAGGGCACATACCTCAGTTGCAGTTTGTCCCCAGCCCTGGTTGGGTCGTGCGGGTGGCAGCCACTTGATGTGTCCCTTTCACATCGATGTTTCTCTCTCTGTCTCTCCCTCCCGCTCTATCTGAACAAAAAATGGGAAAAAAATGTCCTCGGGTGAGGATAAAAAAAAAATTCTTGTAACAGGAATTACTGGATTGAATGATACGTAAATGTAAAATGTTACACTCAGCACTGTGGAAATAGAAGGATCGTATCTCGACATAATAAAGGCCATATATGAAAGACCTACAGCCAACATCAACTCAATGGGCAGAAACTAAAAGCATTTCCCTTAAGAACAGGAACAAGACAGGGATGCCCAATTTCGCCACTCTTATTTAACATTGTACTGGAAGTCTTAGCCACGGCAATCAGACAGGAAGAAAAAATAAAAGGGATCCAAGTTGGAAAGGAGGAAGTGAAACTGTCATTATTTGCAGATGACATGATATTATACATAGAAAACCCTAAATACTCCATCAAAAATCTACTAGACTTAATAAATGAATTTGGCAAAGTAGCAGGATACAAAATTAACATCAAGAAATCGACGGCATTCTTATACACCAATGATGAACTCACAGAAAGGGAAACTGAAAAAACAATCCCATTTACCATTACAGCAAAAAAATTAAGATACCTAGGAATAAACCTAACCAAAGAAGCAAAGGACCTATTTGCACAAAACTACAGGACACTGAAAACAGAAACAGAGGAAGATATAAAAAAGTGGAAGCACATACGTTGTTCATAGATTGGAAGAATTAACATCATTAAAATGTCCATATTACCCAAAGCAATCTATAGATTTAATGCAATCCCCATCAAAATACCAATGACATATTTCACAGAAGTAGAACAAATATGTCAAAAGTTCATATGGAACCAAAAAAGACCCCGAATAGCCACAGCAATCTTGAAAAAGGACAAAGTAGGTAGGATCACAATACCAGATTATCAGGTTATACTACAAAGCCACTGTAACCAAAAAGCCTGGTACTGGCACAAGAACAGGCATATAGACCAGTGGAACAGAACAGAGAACCCAGAAATGGACCCAAGGCAATATGCTCAATTAATATTTGACCAAGGAGGCAAGAGCATACAGTGGAGTAAAGACAGCCTCTTTAATAAATCGTGTTGGGAAAATTGGACAGCTACATGCAAAAAAGTGAAACAAGACCATCAACTTACACCATACACAAAAATAAACTCAAAATGGATAAAAGACTTAAATGTGACTCGTGAATCCATAAAAATCCTAGAAGAAAATGTAGACAACAAAATTTCGGACATCATACGGAACAGAATTTTCACTGATACATCACCTAAGGCAACAGAAACAAAAGAGAAAATGAACACATGGGACTACATCAAACTAAAAAGCTTCTGCACAGCAAAAGATACAATCATCAAATGGAAAGGCAACCCACTGTATGGGAGAGCATCATTGCCAATGATGTATCAGATAAGGGGTCAATTTCCAATATATATAGAGTGCTCCTACAACTCCACAAAAGGAAGATAAAGAACCCAATGAAAAAATGGGCAGAGGAGCTGAATAGACACCTCTCCAAACAGGACATACAAATGGCTAAGAGACATATGAAGAAATGCTCAACATCACTAATCATCAGAGAGATGCAAATTAAAACAACTATGAGGGATCACCTCACACCTGTCAGAATAGCCACCATCAACAGATCATCAAACAACAAGTGCTGGCGAGGGTGTGGAGAAAAGGGGACTCTAATACACTGCTGGTGGGAATGCAGACTGGTGCAGCCGCTGTGGAAGACACTATGGTGTTACCTCAGAAAATTAAAAACTGAACTTCCATTTGACCCAGTGATCCCTCTTCTAGGAATATACCCTAAGAAGCCTAAAACAGCAATCAGGAAGAATAGATGTACCCCCTTGTTCATAGCAGCACTATTTACAATAGCTAAGATCTGGAAACAGCCCAAGTGTCCATCAGTAGACGAATGGATAAAAAAGCTGTGGTACATGTACACAATGGAGTACTATGCAGCTGTAAGAAAGAAAGATCTCTTATCCTTTGAGACGACATGGAGGGGCCTGGAAAGTGAAATAAGCCAAGCAGAAAAAGACAAATACCACATGATGTCACTTATATACGGAATATAATGAACATACCAGTCTGAGGAATATGGTAGAACCAGAAACATGGAAGTAGGGCAGAGACTGACATCCCTCAGAAGAGGGCTTATATGCATGTATGCATGACCAATGGACATGGACAACAAAGCCGGGGACGGGATGGGGGTGAGGGGAATGGGGAGGAGGGTGTCAATGGGGTAAAAAAGGAGAAACATCTGTAACAAAAATAAAATTAAAACAAACATAAACAAACCGAAAAAACCCAACAAAATAAAAAGAAATGTAAAATGTTGGTGGATCTGGCCAAATTGCCAGGATAGGACCCCTTCTTCAGAGGAGGAAAAAAACCAAGCACTTGTACACGTGATTATGCAGTCCTGCCTGGAGATGGGCAACTTGGCTTCCCCACCTCCTCCCCAATTCCCATCTCAAGGATGAAGGCAGTGAGGCCCGGATGGTCAGGGGCAGGCTCAGAGGCTGAACTTGAACCCATCTCTTGCCTCTCGGCCTAGGGTCCTTCCCTCTCTAAAATTCCTTTGCGACTGGGTAACGCCCCCCATCGTCCCACCCTCCCGCCTCTATACTCGGGGGTGTCTCGCCCCAGCCCCTTCACCACGCTCACGCGGCGGGGGTCCTCTCACCGGTGGTTTTCGTTGAGCAGGGAGAAAAGTGGGCTAAGGCGCAGTTCCGCCGCGTGCTCGCGGAGCTCGCTGAGCGGCACCGCCTGCAACACCGACTGAAGCGCGCGTAGCTCCTCCAGCGGCGCTTCCAGCCGCGACACATCCCTCAGCAGCGCCAGCACCTGGGCCGCCATCACGCCTCCTCAGCAGGAAGGGACTTGCCCGCCGGCGCTCCCGTCTCCCGGCGTGCTTCTCCGAGTCTCGCGAGACCTGACGGACACCGCCTCCCTTCGCTGGAGTTTGGCGGTGACTGCGAACTGTCCGGCCTCAGCGGCAGCAGGGCGGCGCTGGCGGACGGCGCGCGTGCGGGGACCGCCAAGCCTCGCGAGAGCGGGTCCGTCAGGGCCGCTCGGTCGTGGTTGTGGGGTCGCAGTTGAGCGTCATCTTAGGCGCCGCTCGTTCGGTCACGCAGTTGTCCGTTTCCAGGGGGCTTGCGAATTTCCCACCCAGCGCGAAGGCTCGACAGATGCCGGCAAGCGGAGGAATGAGAAGGAGAACCAACCGAAGGTTAAGCGGTGTCGCCAACCGCCTCCTGGCTCTGAAACCACGCTCTCGACAGCGGCGAGGGCGGGGGTGGTAGAGGCCGCTGCGTCGTGGGCAGCGGCCGAGGCCACCCCAGGCGGAGGGAGGCGAAGGGCGGCGAAGGGCATCCTCACCCCGTGTCAGACTTACACGTAACAAGAGGAAGCAGAGAGCCATGCCTCTGCAGGATGCGATGAAAAATCTGGAGGGGCTGAAAGAAGGCGTGAGTAACACCGACGTGGGGCGCTTTGGGGGCGTCAGTGAGTCTACCGTGCGCCCCATTAATAAAAACGACAAGGCCGTCATGGAATGTTTCGCCTCTCTCCTTTAAGTGGCTGTGCATTTCCCGGGATGTAAACATCAAAAAGATGGAGACTGAGTTAATCTTTTGGGTTGAGGACCTGACCAGAGAACAAAGGATCGCTTGGGAAGTTGAGAAATTGCTACAGTTTGAGACATTCTAGGTTGACGTGGGGAGGAAGAACCGTTAAATGCCCAGTGGGCATGGAAGTACTCCAAGCAACTCCAGAAATTGATCAGAAGTAGAAGCTACTTGCCTCAGCATGTCTTCCATGCCAAGGTCATGGGCTTGTTTGGGAAGTCCACCTTTAGTGTGCTTTTTTTTTAAATCCTCGCCCAAGGATATTTTTCTATTTATCATCAGATAGAGTGACACATCCACGTGAGAGGGACACATAGTGAGGGACACATTGACTGGTTGCTTCCCACACGACCCCAAGGGCCTTGGACGAACCACAACAGCGGTAGTGCCTTTGACCAGAATCGAACCCATGACAAATTGGTCCGCAGCCTACGCTCTAACCGCTGAGCCAAACCGGTCAGGGCCACCTTTAGTATGTTTTTAGGGAAAAAGACAATTCGGAAGCTAAGAACCTGATTTTCATCGTGTGTGTGTGTGTCAGTGCTGCTTTATAAAGATCCTAACCCCACCTGTCTTTTGGAAAAAGATTTAAAAAATAAAACTAATCCTTCCTGTTTCCTGGCAATCACACCCCAGACTATTATTAACTGCTGCCCTCTTATTTTTTGGATTGGTTTCATAAATTGTTTTATCCATCAAACCCAGAGTTACTTGACAGAAAAAAATCTTGAATTCAGAGTGTTGCAAATTTTGGGCCAAGGTCCCAATCACCCAGGCTCATTTTCTTTGCTTATTCTAATGTGATATTGTGTTTCTCCCTCTGGGAGGCACTAGCTATCTTCAGCCATTGGATCAGAGAATAATTGAAGCATTCAGGAGGTATTACAGCAAGCATATATTTGATCACTTTGCTGACTACTGAAAAAAAAAACCCTGCCTAACTTCGAAGGAAACATGGCAATAAGTACAACATTGCTGACACTTTAGTGATAAAAGACGCAGTGGTTGATACAAAACCAGCCACTCTTACTGAAGTGTGGTAGAAGCTTTAGGAGGATGTTGTGAATGATTATGCCTGCTTCCCTAGAATACGTTGAAAAATAAATCAGAGTGTGCAAAACAGATGGGTTTTAAATTCATCAATATTGCCCTGGCCAGTTTGGCTCAGCGGTTAGAGCATTGGCCTGTGGTCTGGAGACACCCGGGTTCGGTTCCCACTAAGGGCACGTACCTCTGTTGTCTCCGGCCCTGGTTGGGTGGTGTGGGTGGCAATCACTCGATGTGTCCCTTTCATGTCGATGTTTCTCTCTCTCTCTCCCTCCTACTCTGAACAAACTATCAAAAAAATGTCCTCAGCCCTGGCCGGTTTGGCTCAGCGGTTAGAGCGTCCGCCTGCGGTCCGGAGAGACCCGGGTTTGGTTCCCGCTAAGGGCATGTACCTCGGTTGCAGTTTGTCCCCGGCCCTGGTTGGTCGTGCGGGTGGCAGCCACTCGATGTGTCCCTTTCACATCGATGTTTCCCTCTCTCTTCCTCTCTCTCCCTCCCACTCTGTCTGTACAAAAAATGGAAAAATGTCCTCGGATGAGGATTAAAAAAAAAAAATGTCCTCAGGTAAGGATAAAAAAAAAATTTTAATTCATCAATATTGATGAAAATGAAATTAATGAGTTACTCAAGTTTCAAGTTTTGGCGATAACAAGAGTCTGTAGATAAAGAAGAAGACAAATCCCCAGAAGTAGAGGTAAAGATGAACCTAAAGATATTGAATTCTTTCTTACACTCTGCCTGAGACCTCATTGATGCTGCAATTAATATGGATTCTTTCCTGGATCAAAATTTGGCCTTTAAAAAATATTTCGATAAATTGTTATATACCTGTAAAGAGTTGCAAAGAACCTTCCAAATAAAGGAGTTGAAGGGAGGAAGGATACAAAATAGGAAGCACGGGCGAAGGAGATGGATACAGAATGAAACTGAAGGGAAGTCAGTCTGAATTTTAGTTTGAGTCCAAGTTCGAATCTTACTAGCAGGAGGAGCAGGTAGAGAGAAAGGATAAGATGCCTCCAGAGGAAGAGCCTGGACCCTCAAATAGTGGCACTAAGAATCTTTGTGTATCTGAAGAATTTAACAAAAAGTCCAATGTAGAACTTATAATTACCAGCCACACATCCATGTTATGTAGTTAGACAGTTATTAAGCCTAAACTGTGTGGGCTTCTCTGCTAAACTTGGGGACATCATCTCACAATCTAAGGTAAAAGATCACTAACCAGTGGCCTTTCTTAATAAGGTAACGTATAAAAGATCACAGTCTTGCCCTGGCCGGTTTTGCTCAGTGGTTAGAGCGTCAGCCCATGGACCAAAGAGTTGCAGGTTCGATTCCGGTCAAGTGAATGTACCTTGGTTGCAGTTTGGTCCCTGGCTCTGGTTGGGGTTGTGCAGGAGGCAGCCAATTGATGTGTCTCTCGCATCGATGTTTCTCTCTCACCCTCGCTCCTACCTACTCTGGATCAAGTTAAATGGAAAAATATCCTTGGGTGAGGATTTTTTTTTTAAAAAAGATCAGTCTTGATTTATTTTAGTGGACTTTTAATAAAAAGGTTTTCTTAGGATCACTTGACTTCATTTACTGGAAAAGGTTTTCCAGATACTAAGTTCTCCAATCACAAATGGAGATTTTCTGAGTTAACCTTTGTAGTTGCTATGAGAGTACTTGCTCTAGAAATGCTGACATGGTCTTAACTTTTCACAAAGCACTTTTACATTAATCTGCTCTGTTAATCTTCACTTTAGACCTTTGAAGGCCTATTAGCCTGTACTTACCCCCCCCCCCAAAAAAAACCTCAGAAGTTAAGTAACTTGCCTGAGTCTGCACAGCTAAATGTAAATGATAACTCTAGGGCTACAACTGATTTATTAACAATGTTGTCAGACACTTTGTTAGGAAGTACATCATGCGTTTGAGAATTTATAGTTGCAGGGAATGAGATAAGACAGGTGAACAGGTAATTTAAAATAAGCACAGAGGAGGCCTAGCTGGTGTGGCTCAGCGTGGTCCCATGGACTGAGAGGTCTGGGTTTGATTCCCAAGCAGGGCACTGCCCAGGCTTCTGGGCAGGATCCCCAGTAGGGGGCATGCAGGAGGAAGCCAATCAGTGTGTCTGTGTCACATCCATGTTTCTAGCTCTAAGAAAATAAAAACATTAAAAAAATAAATAAAACACAGGCTGTGCACTGGTAGCCTGCAGGCCAGATTTGTCTGATACATTTTGTTTAACCTGCTCAGTTTAAAACAGTTTTGAATTGGTTTCCAGTGCCCCGCCCCCAACCCCTTTTTGTTTAAGGTACTATTTACATACAATATAGTTTACCAATTAAAGTATGTAGTTTGTTGAATTTTTTAACATTTGTGTAACTACCACCACAATCAAGATATAGAGCAGTTCCCTTAATTTTAAAAAGTTTACTTGTGCCCTTGTGCACTCAATCCCTTCTGCCCCAGAAAGGTCATTAGGTAAAAATTAGGATACTTCACATTAAAAGCTGGATTAAAAAATTGGAAACCCTGACAACAGTGGACTCTGTATTCCCGAAGGGCAACAGTCATTAGATTGCTGCTTTGCTTGTTTGTTTGCAGCTCTCCATAGTTGACGTTAAGTGTTACAACAGAAGTGGCCGATTAACTCTGGGAAAGGTTGCACAGGCCACTGGCTTGGAAAGATGAATGCGTTCATAGGGAGAGCAGTTGGGAGCAAGAGTTTCTAAAACCAAGGAGGATTATAGGAGAGCCTGGGAGGAGAAGCTGATAAGGGTGACAGGAAAGCAGCATAGTGTCTCTCTTGTTTTTGGTGGAGGGATGGGCCTGTATAATAAAGTGGAAGAGTTTAGTGTATGTGTCTTATTGTTTGTGTGCTTTGCTTTCTGAAGGTTTTGTATACCCAAGAAACTTAATGTCTTTTTAACTGTACATCTCTGGGGACTTAAAATTTTTTTTATTATTGTTGAGATGAGGAGGAGAAATTGGTATTTTTATTTTTATAAGGGTTATAGGTCTGTGTATGGTGCTTGTGTTGTCTGTTTATAGGGAGAGAGTTGTCCAGAGAAAATTCCTCCCTCTTTCCCTGCCCCCTACACTAGCTTATTACAGCCAGTCTGTCTGGGGCGGAGCAGTAGGAAGGCAGCAGGTGGCAGGAAGGCCGTGGGGAGGGCGGTTTAGGCCGCAAGTTCCCGCCCTCCCCTCCTCCCCCTGCCGGCAACTCAGCCAGAGGCCACTTTCTTGCTGTGGTGCAGCTTAATTACCAGCGACGCCATGGATAGGCTGCTCTCACGGTGCCCTCTGCCAGGCTACCCTCGGCCCTCTGTCCTTATGTGCCTCCTGGTGAGTGCCCACACTAATGATGGTACCAACTGTCTCAGCTCTAAACCTTCAACCTAGGATCTGAGGGAAGAAGACAACAGTTCCCTTTACTACTCTTGGGATTTTTGAGCCGGGGCTGCAGGTAGGGGATGGACAGTACAATCCCAGGAAGCACAATTTGGTGTCCTGGAGACTGGTGTGATTCTGAAGGTTACTAGCACCCCTCTTTCACTGTGTGAGGAGGGGTTACTGGGCAGTGTTGCATTGCCAGGTAGGTGAAGGGGGGATGTCTGGTGGTGAGTTCTTGTCTACCGGTCATGTGATAGATTCTTTTCTTTCTGTTGCAGTTACCATATTGTTTTTATGGGGGCTTTGTTTTCTCCCCACAGAAATATCTTAAAATGTTAAGGTTGGAAGTGACTATTTACAGAGTATCTCCAGTGGTGGAGGTGGTTGTGGGGGAGGTGGAGAAGGGTCAGAAACCCAGGGGTCTAGCCCACCTCTGATGATCACTTTTGGGTGATTTCTTCTTTCTGGCCCTTATTTCCTCATCCAACCAATTGGCACATATCAGTGGCTCTTACACTTTTTGCGTCTGTAGATTTTCTTATAAGTTCTGGATTTGTACACAAGGAAAATGTATAGATAAACACAATATTGCATTCATTCAGAATATTCATGGATTCCTTAAAACTACGTGGATTATAAATTTAGAACCACTAGGTGGTTTCTGCGGCCCCTTCTGCCTTAACACAGACTGTAAAGTCACCAGAATAAAGTACAAAATAACTGAAAGAATACATAAAATATTTTTAAAGAATGTAAAAATATAAAAGGTATATAGTAAAAGGCAAATAGGAAAATGTTGAAAAGACCTTTTATAATAAATCCTTTCCCCTTTATAATGTTCCTATTAGGGAATTGTGATGTGTGTATTTTCCATCAATTTTGCATTCATATAATGTCATTTTCTAATATATTGTAGTCCATCCTTGGTTCCAGGTTGACCTTTCATGCTTCTGATACTTTGTTGATATGGTCCACAAACATTTCTCAAGCCCATACTTCCTGTCAGAGTTGTAAAGTGCTGGGAATACAGAAATGAATGAGACTGAAGAGCATGTCCAATGGAGGAGACATGTAAACAACTACCTGTATTTCACGGTGATCAATGGTGCAACAGGAGGATGTTCAGCAGCAATCCTGGCCTCTACCCAATAGATGCCAATAGCATCCCTTCCCCAGGCATGACAATAAAAATTGCCCCTAGACATTGCCAGATATCCCCTGGGGTTTCAAAATTGCCTTGAGAACCAACCACTGGATTAAGTGAAGCTGAATCGACCCCACTAGATCAATTCCTAGTTGTGGTCATTGCAGTTCAGAGAATCCTGAATGGGAGGTAGAAGTCTTGGATGCAAGTCTTGGTTCTATCGCAGAGTTTCTGAATGTTCTGCCTTAGATATCTATTAAGTTAAGAGTTATCTTAGATAATACTTGAGAGCACAGCTCTCAGTTTCAATAACACAGGTCGCATTGCTTTAGAATTAGGCTACCTTTCCACTAGCCTATCCATGGTGCCTAGCACATATATACACATGAATGGAGGGAAAATTAACTCCTCAAACATCAAGAGATGTAAGAGCTTAGTATTTTGACTCAGTTCACATAAGAGTTTCAATACATTTTAGGTGAGTTTATATTTAATCTTATTAGCTATGTTGCACTGATACCTGCCGGCTGGAATGCCCCAGATCTTCCCTTGGAATGACTTTTCTGGTTGGGAGACAGACCATTGCTCCTTTTGTTTTGCATCTGTGCTGGAAGCCACCTTAGAGTCATGTAGTTGACCCCTTACAGTGTTCCAGTGTGTCCAATTCTCTGATAAAAGCACTGCTAACAAGACTCACATCCTTCACAAGGCTATTTAGTCTCAACTGGTGTATTCTTTCACTAGTCTACAAGTATTGAGAACCTGCTGAGTGCCATGAACTGTGCTGGAGATACAGTGATGAGCAAAGCATGATCCTTTTCTTTATTGAATTTGTGATTACAAATTATTTTTCCCATCTCATTTGAACCTACAGCAACTCTGAGATAGGCAGAACAAGTGCCATAATCTCCGATTTCTAAATAAGGTTTCTAGAAGGAGAGGAGGTAACTTGTCAAAGGCCACAGGCAGTACTCACACCAGGATTTAAATCCTACTGCGCACACGTACACACAAAGCTTTATTGAAAAGTCTGTTTTTTCTTGCATGGTCACTGGTTTAGTTCAGTGGACCAGTATGTTGAATTTGTAGTTTGATGGAGGTAGTGGGAGGGAATGAGAAACCCAACCCAGACAGTCCTCTCGTCAAACTGAAGCTGAAAACATAAAAACGCTGCTCAGGCCCTGCCAAGAAGTAGGAGCCAGGACTTAGGCGATAGCATAAAAGGAGTGGGAGGACAGAGGTTTATTTGAGCAAGGAAGGAGCCCTGCCTGGGCTGGGAGGCAGGAGAAACGCGCTCTTGTTCAGCCTGGCTTACGTCATAGTGGGACTCCTTGCAAGCTGCATCTGTCCCTGTTAATGACTCCATTATACCCCCCAAGCAAAGAACCTGGAATGGAAGGCATTTTCCAGTTCTTTTCATTTCTTGTTATTTGAAATGTTTATCATTAAAATAGTAAGAAAAATTATATACCTCGAGTGCCTTTTCGTCTCACGTTGTCACTGCCGTCATCTTAGCTCAGGATCTTGAAGTCTTTCCTGGATCATTGTCGGGGCCTTCTGAGTAGACTCTCTAGTCATTCTCATCCTCCCTCCAGGTACCCTACTCCGCTTTAGTATATGATTTCTCTGCTACTTACAAACCTCCAGAGTACCCTACCACTTGAGTACAAACTCCAAACTCCTTAGCCTGACCCTTTTCTTTATAGTTGTAGCCGTTTCATTTCCTCCTAATCACATACTCACAGTAAGACCCACACAGACTGTGTATCTGATCTAGTCCTAAACACTTCTTGAGTTTGTACACATTACCATTTGCTTAGCATGTCTCCCTCTCCTCCTGTAATCCTACTTATCATTTCAGATCCAAATTAGATGGTACCTTCTCTTTGAAGCCTTTTTCTGCTCCCTCAGGTAGAGCCTTCCTCATGGTCACCCCAGCTCTCAGTTTAGTAGCACAGGTTGCATTGCTTTAGAATTAAGCTACCTTTTCCACTAGCCTACCCACAGTGCCTGGCACATAATGCAAATGAATGGAGGTGAAAGTAACTCTTCAAACATCATTAGATGTAAGAGCTTATCATTTGTTATAGTCTCCACAGGATGATGGAAGTTCAGTAGATACCAGTTGGTATTATCTCCATAAAAATGGATTTCACACCATCCAGACTTGAGTTCCAATCCTGGCTTCACCAAATAAAAGCTATGTGATTTTTGAGCAAGCTTCTTGATTTCTGAGCCTCTATTTCTTTTTTAACATCTGCAAAATGCAGTGGGAAAACTCTAGGCATAAAAACTTTGTTGAATTATGAAAATTCAAGATTCCAGGAATTATTTTTTGGATGGGGAATGGGTATGAAAAAATGATGCCCAGCCTTGGTTCCAATCTGCTTGAGCTGGCAGATAGTGAATTGTCATGACACTGCTGATTTGTGCTTTTTCCCACCCTTTAGATCCTGACAGCTTCTTTCCTGACATACCCCATGCTCAGGACCCTTAGCCTGCAGCTCCATTCAGCTGTCACTGGCAGTTATGTCTCCGGCACTTACTCCATCGTCTTTGTCAACTGTCCCAACGAGCAAATTGCCAGAGATATTGCCAGGTATGGTAAAGGGGCTTAGGTGCTGCCCCAGGAGGCTCAGGGAGCTACCAGGATGCTCTACAAGGGCTACTTTTAGACCCTTCTCTTGCTTCTGACAACCCTGTCTGTCCATCCAGTGACACACAGCTGCATAATCCTATGGATCCCACTGCTGGGATGTTGAGTAGTGCATGGGGGTATATAAGGGATATGAGACCAGAGGGATGTATGGCTTACCCAAGGTGTTAAGATAGAGAACAGTGGAATTCTACCTGTTGAAAATTTATATCTCCTAATTTCTGGCCCATCTGTCTTCTTGGAGGTATTCTTTTTGCTCAATTCCAGAGGTGTTCACTATGACAAGTGAAGAGGAGGAGGTGACCATTCCAAACATTTAGGAAATTTCTAGAAGCAGCAGTGGTATGGTGGAGAGAACACTGGATTTCTAAGCAGACCAGAGTTTGAATTTTGGCTCTATCATTTACTGTGTTAACTTGGGTAAATCAAGTCACTTCCCTTCTCTAAACATGTTTTCTGAATTATAAAATAGGATAATGTCATCTACCTCACAGGATTGTAAGGATTAAATGAGATGAAGTATGTACAGTACTTACCTCAGTAACTTGAATGTAGTAGGTGCTCAGTAAATGTTTGTGGTATCTGAACAACCCCCCCCCCCCCATTTTCCTCTTTATAGGTTCAGCTTTGAAGAGGGTTAGTGGGAATGGAGGGGAGTGGATTTGGCTCCTCGCTCCCTTTCTTCTTGTGCCACAACTCAGCATTCTTGAAGTTGATGATAGACTAGGTTCTAGTGTTTTCAAATGTGAATCTGGTCTTTGGGAGCACACAGCCTCCAAATTGTTGGTCACAGGTTAACCTTGCATTTGATTCCATCTTTCTTTCCTCCAACCAGAATGTATATGTTTCCCTCATGAACATTACCTTTGGAAAACAGCTCTTATTTAAGAGAACCTGTAATTACTCCAGAGATACAAACATAGATTTTTGCAGCTAGGAACTGAAATTCCTCCTGATATCTCTGGTATACCCAGGTTCTGTACTGAACTATCTTTTCTCTGGATCCCTGGATCAGCCACTCTGGGTCCTGTCAAGAAACAACTTCAGCTGACATCTGTGAGGTTTGGTGATGGGAGGAAAATGATTCTAATGCCTGGGTTCTAAGTGGTTGAAAGGCCAGTTCAAGTAAATGGATCAATATCAGCTTGAAGAGAGGTCTCGTTTATCTATTTGCATCCTAGGTTGTTGATGAGGTCAGGTGTTTATCAGGGCCTCATTCCTTTGTAGGGAATACTTTTCTCTCTGATACTTTTTAGGATTTTCTTTTTGTCTTAATGTTCAGCTATTAATTTGCTAACTATTCTTTCTCTATTCTTTCTTTTTCTTAGAACTCCTATTAGATAGATGTTGAATTTGTTCTTTATGACTGAAGTTTTCTATTTTTCTGTTCCTTTATTCTGCATACTGGGAGAATTTTTGAGCCCCTCTTTCTCTCTTGTTTGTTTTTCATTAGTATCTAATTTGCTATTCAGCCCTTCTATTGAGTGTTTTGTTTAAACGATTACTTTTCCGCCCTGGCCAGTTTTGCTCAGTGGTTAGAGCATCGGCCTGCGGTCCAGAGATACCCGGGTTCGGTTCCCACTAAGGGCATGTACTTTGGTTGCAGTTTGTCCCTGGTCCTGGTTGTGCGGGTGGCAGCCACTCGATGTGTCCCTTTCACGTCGATGTTTCTCTCTCTCTCTCTCTTCCTCTCTCTCCCTCCCACTCTACCTGAACAAAAAAAATGGAAAAATGTCCTCGGGTGAGGATAAATAAATAAACAATTACTTTTCCTTTTCAGGATTTCTAATTGTTCTTTCATAACCAACTATTAATGTTTAATAAATGTCTGATCTTATAATTGATTTTATTTTAAGGATGCAATAACCTTATCTTTCTGTAGATGTTAATTATATTTAATTTTTAATTTTTTCAGCTTTATTCAGATAGAGTTGACATAAAACATTGTGTAAGTTTAAGGTGTACACATGATGATTTAATATATGTATAGATATCAAAATGGTCACAATAAGGTTAGTTAACATACCCATAACCTCACACAGTTATCTCTTTTGGGGGTGAGAACTTTTAAGATCTACTCTCTTAGCAACTTTCAAGTAAACATAATTATACTTATTTTAAAATCTTGTATTTGAGTGTTCTGTTAACTGGTCTTCTTAGGTAAATTCTTTTTTGTTGAATTTTTGCCTCTCTTGGTATAGACTGTCCTCAGATACTTTGTGATTCTGATACTTTGTAACATCGCTCATCTTCTTAGCTATGCTGGTGGGGAGGCGCAGGAACAACTGCAAAGAATTGGTATTAGCACTGTTTTCAGTGTTGCGTGTGGTTTGGGGGGAGATTCTACACACCAGGGTGCTCTAGTAGCAGTTCTTCTGGGCATGAATTCTCCCTCCTTGGCTGTCACCAGTTACTATGACATTATTTTGCCTTTGTCCCCCAAAGTGCCTATACTTACTGCTCCTTCCTGGAGACAAACACCCCATTATTGCTTCCCAGGCCATGGGAGATTTGGGGCATTCGGGCAATTCACCTTAATGACTGCCTCTAGTCCTTGCCTGCTTCGGTTCCCATTGCCCTCAGATACAGACTGTTGCTCTTATCTCTGTGAGGCGGGGCTGCCTTTTACTCTTTGGGGCTTCCTTATAGTTGCTGATACATAAAGCGTTCTCCTTACTGTGCCCTGACATGGCTAAGTAGTATGTTGGGGCCACGAAGTTGAACTGAAAATCTGAAGTGGAGTATTTAGTGATATGGCCATGAGGCAATGGATTGTTTTCTCCAGAAGTTGAACTCACTCCCTGTGTTTATATGCCACCTTCAGAACCAGTAACATGCAATTTCTCAGCAAATGATTGAGTGAGCAAGACTTGCAGCAGTTGCTTAAACACATTTATGCCATGTGCCTCTCCTTACAGTCAGGGATTTATTTAGCCCCTGGAACTTTGCAGGGGAATGAGGTGGTGGCAATGCCACATTAATGTGGAGCCTTAAATAGAGAGCACTGCTTAGCCTGGAACCCAAGGGAAAAGAAAGTAGGTCAGTTTTCTTGGCAGCAGCTGGAGGAAGGAGGGATCAGTGAGCAGGGCTCCAGTGAGGTTTATTTGGCAAGTTCCAAGCACTTCAGAAAACAGAGACCCCTCCCTTGGCTGCCTGAGACCTGAGAAAGGTTTGTCAGGGCCTGCCTGATTCTGAGGGTTTGAGGTTTTGATGTTTGAGGACGCTTCAAGTGACTTGGTGACTTTGTGGTGCTCCTGTTTCTGACACCTATACTAGTTCAAGCCCCTTTTACTGTATTCACTAGGGTGCTGCATAGGAATCTGAGATTACCAGACCAGGAATTCCAACCTGTGTGGTCTGTCAAAAAAAAAAGAAAGAAAAAAGTTGTACAGGTCTGCAAATCTGACGATTGTGCACTTAGGGCTGTGAAGGAACCTTTATAAAAACAGGTGAAAAGAGCCTATATTTGCCAAAGACAAACACAAGTTATGGCGGTTTTTTTGCTTTTACTTGGAGTTGTGTAGTCACACAGGTATCTAAGATCAGAAGCACCGAGTATCAGCCTGGTACATACCTTTGGGATGAAAGCAGAGGTGGCATAATAAAAGGAGTCCTTGGTGGTGAAAAGGGTTGGAAGCTACTGGTCAAACCATCTTCTCACTGTACAGAAGGAGAGTCAGGTTGAGTGGGGACATCCCTGTCTTGGTTAGGTGCTTGAATACTCATTCCTGGAAAGAAAGAAAGAACTTGCATAAGGCCACACAGCCATTCCTACTGCAGGGCAGGACTGGAACCAGGTCTTCTTGTTCTCTGTTCAGAGTTAATTCCTGTTCTCCAAGCAGATTGGGCCTGTCCTTGAAACTGCCAGGAGGGGCACTTTAAATGGTTCTCTAGTTCCTAGGAACAACTGTTCCCTGTTCCTTTGCTTAAGGTCCTGGACATTTGCCGCAGTGACGGTCACTCTCTTTGCTTTAGGGGCATCCTGGATAAGAAGCTGGCTGCCTCTGTGAACATCCTACCCAAGGCATCCTCACTGTGAGTTTTGCTGTGGCCAGTGGAGGGTCAGGTCCTAGTTGGTAGAAGGAGTACTGAACTAATGGGGAATTGTGAAAGAACAACTCAGGCATTTAATCAATCAACACTTCTGTTGATTTGCATTAGAAGGAAATTAACCACTGGGTTTATGTCATCCATGAACAAATGCCAAAATGTGCTTTGTATAGAGAAAGGAGGGAAAACCCTGCAGTTTAGGAACAGTGAATCTTGTTTGCACATTCTTTTGTTTAAATCAATTAATTTGCTGTTAGCACAGAAGCGAGACTGGGCATTTCATCCCTGAGTAAGCCAACTAGGGATATCAAAGAAAATAATTTCTATTGCTTTTGGATTCTTTGGAAAACTGAGAGTTTGGCATATGTGACAGGCTGTTTCTGTGTCTTGTCATTTTATTGATACCTTTATTTTTTTAATCCTCGCCTGAGAATATTTTTCTATTTATCTTCAGGTAGAGTGGGTAGGTGGGAGGGGGAGAGAGAGAGAAACATCAATGTGAGAGAGACACATCGACTGGCTGCCTCTCGCATGACCCCGACCAGGGCCGGGGATGAACCACAACTGAGATAGGCGCCCTTGACTGGAATCAAACCCACGACTCATTGGTCTGCAGGCCAACGCTCTAACCACTGAGCAAGACTGGCTAGGGTGACACCTTTATTTTAATTAAGCCTGGTCTGCACCATTTCTCTTATCGAAATATTTTAGCATCCCACTACAGGCTGTGCAGGATTTGTCTTGTGCCTTAATTGCTCTGATCAGCCTGTTTCTCATCTCCTTCCCTCCTGGAAAGAGAGAGAGAATGAGAGAGTGGGAATGGGGGAGTGTAGGTGAGGAAAGAAATAATATTTACTCTGAAGGTCAAAACAGAAAAATGCTATATAGTGGAAGCTCCCCCCACCTGCCAACAATGTCATTGCCTCAGTGGCTAACGTCATCTATTGCAATGGCTCCCAAATTTGGCTTTGCTTTAGATTCCTGAACTTCATTCTAGGTCTACTCAACCAGTCTCCCTGAGGGTGGAGCTTGGGTCTCTGAATTTTTTTATTAAAAAAATTTTTTTTCTTTATTAAAAAAAATTTTTTTTTTTTTATTGATTTTAGAGAGAGAAGAAGTGAGAGGGACAGAGAGATAGAAACATTGATGAGAGAGAACATCGATTGGCCACCTCCTGCATGCCCCCCACTGGGGATCGGGCCCACAACCTGGGCATGTGTCCTGACCGGGAATCAAACCAGTGACCTCTTAGTGCATGGGTCAGTGCTCAACCACTAAGCCATACCGGCCGGACTTCTGTATGGATTTTAGAGAGAGAGATAGAAACCTCGATGAGAGAGAACATCGATTGGCCACCTCCTGCATGCCCCCCACTGGAGATCTGTCCCACAGTCTGGGCAGGTGCCCTGACCGGAAATCGAACCAGTGACCTCTTGGTGCATGGGTCAAGGCTCAATCACTGAGCCATACCAGCTGGGCTGAATTTTTATTTATTTTTTGTAAGTGGCATAGGTGATTCACATAAAGCCAGTCTGGGAACCAATGCTTGGGACCTAGAATAGAATTTCAGCCTAGCATTCCCTTCAGATGGCTTATAGTTGATCTTTTTACTACAGTTCTGTGAGACAGGGTCAGTGACCTAGGTCATCTTAGACTTCCCCTGGGTCAGTGTAGATAGTCTCAGGCCAAATTTATTTTCCTTCCCTATACATGATGCTGTTTTCATATTCTTTTTTCTGAACATCGTCACTGACTTTTAGCTTTTGAACCTGTTTCCATTTCTTGTAAGGCTCACTTCTTCCCTGAAGCCTCCTGTGCTTCTTACTTATCCTTTCATGGGCACTCAACTTTGACAGTCAGTGGTAAAAGTAACCCCATTCCAAAGGATGGGGAGGGGCCTGGAAGCCATGAGTATAGAATCAGTGTTGAAAGAGCTGGAGGTACCCAGTTTGTAGGAGAGAAAACAGGAGTTTTGCAGGGCTCGCCTGAGGAGGCTCTTCATATGGAAGTTGGGGAAAACAGCTGGGTGGCAGATGTTGGCACACCGTAAGAAAAACCACCTCCTGTGAAAACCTTTAAAGTAGATGAACTTCTTCAAGAGATGGTCAGCCTCTCACCCCCAGGAATGTTCAGGCAGATGCTAGAAGCGTGCATTAGAATGGTTGGACTAGTTGACCTGTAGTGCCTTGGCCAACTCTAGGCTTTTTTATGTGGGCTTGGAAAGATTTTAAAGTTTCTACCTCAGTAAGTCACTAACTGGGCCAGGATTGACATTTCACTGGACTTGTTTTGTGAGCATCATATTTGATCTTGTTCTCTTCTCCAGGTACTTTTGGAAAGGAGAAATAGAAGAAGCCACTGAGATCCTGTTGGTGAGTGATGATGGGGGTGGGGATGGGCCTTGATAGGGTAAGAGTGAGACCAAGGTTTTTTCCCCAGGTTCCAATAAAAAATTAGCAAAGATCAACTGGTTGAGGTTCTTGCCCACTTAGATGTCTTAGGTTCATTTGTGAGCTAGTGACAGGGTCTGGTCACCTGGTGGGAATGGTGTCTCCCAAATAGCCAGATGAATGAGCATCTGCAGAACTGGGCTGAGGTCCTAAAGCAGTGATCTTTTTTATTTTACAGTTAATAAAGACAAAGACTTCCAAGATCCACATGCTGTCCAGCTATGTCAGGTAATGCTGGTGTGTCTTCTCAGCCAGGGGCATTCTAGGGACCAAGTGAATGATCTTGAACAGCAGGAAACCTAGTTACAAACCTTCCATGTGACCCTGGACATGTGCCTGTTCCTCAGATTCTTCAGCTGTAAAATGGGAGGCTAGAATGGGTTCATTTAAACCAATAGTTTTCAAAATTTTGGTTTCAGGATCCCTTTACACTTTTAAAAATTATTGAAGACTTAAAAGAGTTTTGTTTGCGTGGGTTATATAAAATTTTACTGTATTAGAAATTAAAATAATATCATTATTAATGTAAATCATTTCAATGGAAAATAACCATATCCCCCCCCCCCCCCAAAAAAAAGTGAAAAGAATGGCATTATTTTATATTTTTGCAAAATCTGGCTTAATAAGAATCATCTTTAAGTAATGGGACACTTTTAAAGATCAAGGTGATAAATTCAAGTTTACCAAACTTCTAATTTTTGCTTGAAAACGTAAGTTTTTCATTGGCAACACATGATTTAAATAGTCTTCATTTGAGTGATGGACTCACTTTGTTCATGTATGAGAGAGTGTTTACCCAGTCCTCAAATCTGAATAAGCATCATTGTAAAAATGACAAATTATGGTAACTCAGGCTTAAAAATGGTGTTCAATGAAAAGCCTGGTTTTAGCCTGTGATTCAGTCAGACAAGTGTAAGACAGCATTGAATTTAGGCACACAGCTAAGTGCTTTATGTATATGTCTCATGCTGTCACACAGTACTTAAAAGATATGTACTGAAAGGTCAAAATTTAATAAAAGTAGTAATTTTGACCACTTTGTCAAAGATGTTCGTAAGTGAATTTGACTTTTTGCAAGTGCAGGTGTGTGGTGAAGATACAGTGGCAGCTAGTCCCATTGGGTGCTGTGCTCTTGATGCACATGCCAAGATGCCAGCAGTTTTACCCATGGTCGCTTTTTACCATCAGTGCAAATATCAACATAGTGAAGAGATAAATAACAAATGAGTATTATTATGAACTAGTTTTGGCCTCATGCACCTCCTGAAAGAACCTTGGAGTTCCCCAGGGGCCAATGGATCGTACTTGGAAAACCACTGGGTTAAAGTTTTATCATTCAAAGTGTGGTTTTGGAATAACTGGCATCACCTGGAAGCTGGCTAGAGTTGCGGAGTCTCATGTTCACCCTAAACCTACTGAACCAAACTGCACTTAACCTGATCCCCAGGTGATTCCCTTGCACGTTAAAAGCTTGAGAAGGACTGGTCTAAACTAGTGATTCTTGATGCTGGCTAATAACTATAACCACTTGGAGATGTTTTTCAAATGACCAGTTTAGGCGCACTTCAGATTTGGACTTCATTGATCTGAAATGGGGATCACACCTGTTCTTCAGAAGCACCTGGACTGACTCTGACGTGCCGCTAGGGATGCAGGTCTCCTACTGGATGATGAAACCCCTTTCCTTCACTCCTGCCAGGATTCTGTGAATATATGGCTGTACCCTGGCTTCAAAGCTAGCAGTAGAGAAGGCCCTGTGTTACCACCTTAGCAGAAGTGTGGGAATAAGGCAACTTTGGTAGAACCAACGCTACCAAGAAATTACGGTTTATCTGGTGAGGGACAGCTTCGGGGTTAAGATGGTGAATCTCAGAGCTTGACCTCCAGGGCCAAATCCTGGTTCTACTTGCTAGTTGTAGCCTAAGTGCATGCAAATTTGTTAGACTCCCTGTGCCTCAATTGCCCATCTATAAAATGGGGGGGGGGGGTCAGACCAGTCCCTTGGGATGAGTCTTTGTGAGGTGTATGCATGAAGTGCTGTATCAGTGGCAGCTCTTATGCTAATGTATTACAGATGTCTTTCTCTCTGTCTGAATACTGTGTGTCTGCTTACAAAAACACATGCACTGGTCCAAGTGGCCATGAAATAAGAACATTCGTTGTCCTGGGGCACTGGGTAAACTTACCCAGCTCACTCTGCATGTTTAAGCACCGATGCACATGTTTGATGTGTGCTGTCTCATGAGAACCTCACAGTGCCTCACTCGGCAGAAAAGCAGCAGAGGGTCATTACGCCCTTTGACAGATGGGAAACTGAGCCCAGGGCCTCATGTTTCTTTAAGACCAGGTGAAAGAGATGGGGAAGGGGGAAAGATTCCTGTGGGTTTGGATGGTCAAGGAAGATCCCCTGGAAAAGGTCAATGGTTGAGTTTGGCCTTGAGGGATAGACAGGCTTTTGATTGATGAATAGGAGTAAGAGAACTTTCTAGGTGGAGAGAATACAGAGGTATTGGGGTGGGGTATTTGGAGAAGGCACAGTGACGAGTATGGGATAGTAATAAAGACAGTAGCTAACATTTAGTGAATGCAGTACCAGTCAGTGTACCAGGTAAGTGCTTTATGTACCTTGTCTCATTTAATCCTCAGCAATCCAATCATGTAGGTGCTATTTTCATTTTCTCTTTTGTAGGGCCTTTAGAGAAATTAAGTGATTTGTCTACAGCAGTGGTTCTCCACCTTCCTAATGCTGCAGCCTTTTAATACAGTTCCTCATGTTGTGGTGACCCCCAACCATAAAATTATTTTCGTTGCTACTTCATAACTGTAATTTTGCTACTGTTATGTCTTAGGCGACTCCTGTGAAAGGGTCAGTTGACTCCCAAAGGGGTCGCGACCCACAGGATGAGAATCGCTGGTCTACGGTAACATAGCCAGTAAGGGGCAGACTTAGAATTTGAACCCATGTCTGTGGCACTGTAAAGCCATCTGGCCCAACTCAGCACATGTAGACGGATGGAAAACATACACTCAGGGGTGGTGGGTTACCAAGCCGGACAGGTGGGCTGCACAAGATTGCAGAGGGCCTTGAGTGAGGCCGGCCTGTTGGGTTTTATCACACAAGCTGACCCTAATCATAGTCACTCACAGGACTCTGCTCTCTTTCCAAAGGTTGGTGCATCCTTTTGAAATCCCGGAGATCTTCAGTCTTCCCGTGGACCAAGGAGATGTGCACTATTTAAAGTGGCTGGAGGAGGGCATGGAGGACTGAGTGGGGGAGGTTTTCTGTGGATGCTGCTGGCTGCCTCTAGCCTTCATCAGCTGCACTCTGGGGAAAAGGCGGCCTGTTTCTGCCTCCCAGCATCTCTGGATGCCATGTTTGCCAGCACAGAGGAGCTAAGTAACTGTGGAGGAGGCTGAAGGTCCGAGGCTCCTGAGGCTAGAAGAGGAGGCTGGGCCAGTGAGGCCCAGCAAGAACCCAGTGGAACTTGTCTCTGAGTACGTCATGCTTACAGGTGGCCAGGGGGTAGGAGGGCAAGGATGGTTGTGTGTAGGGGACAAGGGGAGGATGGCAGTGATCTTCACTAGTCACTGGGCCTACCTCAACTGTTTAGGGTAGAATTACTCTCCTGGTTCTCAGGTGGAGAAATAGACCTGATGACCTGTTTACCTAGATGGGTGTGGGACGAAGGTCACTTTCTAGCGGAACTGGCAAGCACTTTCTTTATTCAGAAGGATGGATTGTGAATGGTGCACTTTCAGGGAGAAGCAGGATTATTCCCCCTAGCTAAGGGTGGTGGTGGTTATTCCTGAGTCCTGAGAAGTGGGCCTGGGGATGGGCTTCAGGAGTGTGTGTAGGAATGGAAATATTAGCACTTAGTGACTTCCCTGGCCTGAATATGACAGACATCAGAAGGTTCAGGTGCCTTGCTCAGCAGTGACATAGGTTCTGAGCCCACCATGCTAACCTTTTAACTTGAGCGTTGAAACTGAATATCCTAAAGTAGGAAAGAACCCTGGGGAACTTCTAGACCAGTGTTTCTCACTGCTCTACAGAGCCCACAGAGCCCAGAGGTTGACAGGAGTTACAGGGACTGCTTGCCCACTCCCCCCATACTTCAGCCAGTGCAACTGTACCTATATTAATGTATTGAGTGCTCTTCTGAGATTTATAAAGCTTTTTAAAAAGTTTTCTTTCTTAAAAGTATAAACCAGTGGTTTAAGCCAGTCTCCATTTCATAGTTTTACTACAGAGAATGGAACTGCACTGAGGTCCGGGAAGGGGGTGGCTGTCACTGACGGGGCAGCCCAGGCTGCTTACCCTGTGTCCGGCGATCGGTCCGTTCCCAGGAGAGGGCAGGGAAAGCCAGGCCTCCCGTAGGGTGGAGGACTTGACCTGGGCCCCCCCAGGAACCTGTCACAAGGTAACTGCACACTGAGGAACCCATGGCAGTTTGGGTGAGGGTCCCAGACATCTGTGGTATCCAGGCCTTTCTTCCCAGAGGGAATGGTGTGTGGGAGGGGTTAGTGTTAGGCTGTAGTTCTGACACCTGCTGCGCTTCTTGGACCTTAGTTCCTCCAAATATAAAATGGGGGAGGATCTCCAAGGGCCCTTCTGTGAAGACCTGGTAGGGACGCCAGGCTGAGGCCCTTCCAAATGTCCAGAGCAGGGGTGGGGAATGTCCAGCCCACAGGCCATATAAGACCTCGATCAGTACCAGCTAACCTCACATGCCTCATCAAATTAGCCTGACCAAATATAGCAGGCTAGTTTTTAAGTGGATAATTTTGTATGGTCCGCAAATATAAATATCCAAATGGCCCTTGGCATAAAAATGGTTTCCCAACCCTGGTCCAGAGAATTCTTTTTTGATAGCCAGTGGGGATTGTGGCGGGCTGCCTCAGGAGAACAAAGAGAATGATATTGATGATGTCCTTTTTTTTTTTTTTTCATCCTCACCCGAGGACATTTTTCCATTTTTTTGTTCAGATAGAGCAGGAGGGAGAGAGAGAGAAACATCGATGTGAAGGGACACATCGAGTGGCTGCCACCCGCACGACCAACCAGGGCCGGGGACAAACTGCAACCGAGGTACGTGCCCTTAGCGGGAACTGAACCCGGGTCTCTCTGTACCACAGGCTGACGGTCTAACCACTGAGCCAAACCGGCCAGGGCGATGATGTCCCTTTTGACAATAGATGTTTCTGACTCAACTGAAAATGTACAGGGGACCCCAGATGGACTGCCTGTGCCTGTATTGCTTTCAGGATAAAGTCCAGTTTCTTGGCTTTCAAGGCCCTTCATAGCCTTGGCCTAACTCACTTTTCCATCCTCACCTACCTCTCCTCTCATCCTGCAAGTGGATGGCTGCAGTTAGCCATGTGACGTCACTCCTGTGTTCAGGCCATCCCTCTACCTGGAGTGCCCTTCTGTGTGAGTGCTTGTGAGACTGGGCTGCTGCTCCGCAAGGCCTGGCTCCCCGCCGGAGGGCATCGCTCCTGCCCTGTGCTCCTGTTACTCTGTGCACCAGTCAGCCTCGTGCCTCTGGACCGTGCTGCTCGAGCTCAGGGGCATGTCTGAGTCTGTTTGTTCTCTTGCACAGGGTGTGGCAAATATTTTCCAAATGGGTGTTTCAGGGATTTGAGTAACTAAAGCTTTTTCTCCAGTCCACGGTTACATTCTAGTTCACGGAATTGGCAAAATACAACCTCTTTTTCCTTGAACTTTCTTAAAGTGGGACTAATTCCAAAGGAGATTTTTCTGTCCATGGCCTTCACTGGGTCATGTTCTGTGCTGTGCACTGGAAACTGGTTCTTGGGGGCCTTCCTCTGCCTCAGTGACTGTTACAGGCAACGGAAGGGAGAGGGGCAAAGCACTAGCTCTCTGCCAGGTACTGTCCTAGGTTCTTAACATTATCTTATCCTTAGAAGTCAATGTTCTCATTATTCGGATGAAACCGGAGATCGGAGAGCATAAGACACTTAAAGTAAGTCGCAGCTAAGCTCTGAACCCAAATCTGATTCTAAACTTGATGCTCTTTACTGCCTCTTTCAAAGAGGTTAGATAATATTCTTTGTAGACCAAAGACCCGGAGAGCCTGCTGTAGCCGACTCTAAAGGAAGAGCTCTTGGTTCTTAAACCATCACTGTGGTAAGTTGGTCTGGCACTTAAAAACACATTATATTTACTCCCACAGATCCAGAGGTTGGTGATAGTATCATCATTCTACAGACAAGAAGACAGACTTAGAACAGTTCAGTGTTTTTTAGGGTCTGCATGACTCCAACTTCCATGGTTTGGCCTAAACCACACTCTCCTCCCCGAATGATGCTGTGGGACCTGGGACCACCACCTAGACTAGTGTTTCCATGCGGGAATGCGCTCCCAGCATTGCTCAGGAAATGTGTGTTTTTTAAATCTGGAATCCCTAGAACATTCAGTTGAGGAAATGAGAAAAAGTATTAAAATTATCTGTGAATACCAAAGCTTAAAAGCATAGAGACATTACTGGTTTGAAGAAATCCATCTTCATCAAAAACAAGAGCAAGAAATGCTAGCATGTGGGATTGAAGGTTAGGATAACCCAGGAAAGGAGCAGATGGGAGAGAAATGGTTACTGTCTAATCAGTCTTGTTGTGATTGTTGTATAAGTGTTGTCTGTAGCCATGTCTGTCGCAAACCGTGAGTTAGTCTTGCAAATAAAATAAGTTCATGCACAATATGCTTTATACAAATCCTATGAGCACTGTTCCAAGTTATAAGCTTTGGAAGCAAAATAAATTCTTAATTTGTCATTTTTGATGCGTGATTCTTACACTGTTAATCTTGCTAGGATATTTGAATGTTATGTTATTTGAATACTATCCAATAATATTCCCTGGCATTGTCTGGTGTCTGATCATTCCCTCTAGCCTTGCTCAGTGGTTAGAGCATCAGCCTGCAGCTTGATTCCGGTCAAAGGCATGTGCCTGGGTTGCAGGTTTGATCCGTGGCCCCAGTTGGGGTTGTGCAGGAGGCAACCAATTGATGTGTCTCTGTCACATTGATGTCAGGCTACACTTGACCCCTGAAACTACAGAATTCAGTTAGATCCTCGGCGTTCGCTTCCCTATAGCTGACGTTCTCTCTCTCCAAACTGCCCCAAACACAGAGTTTATTGAAAGTAAGAATCTACCACATATATGTGAAGGGTCCCTCTCAGCACCAGGGAACTGGATCCAGCAGGGATTAGCTCTGCCGTGGGAAGGGTGAGGGAGCTGAGCCCAAGCATTCGGACCGAAGTGGTGCAGGTTCAAACCCGCAGAGCCACACCTAGAGCTCCCTTCACATTGCTCGGACGTGTGCACCGAGTAGTCCATAGTGCCTGCACTTACACTTCTAATGTGGTCAACGTCTAAGTTCACTTCCCATCCTGATTACTTCTCTGTAGCCCTCAGCTAATGTCTTTTGCCCCCATGGGTCAGGTACTCACAGTAGAAAAAGGTTCCACATCCTCTTGGTGGTAAGGGTGAGGATACTGCTGAGAGAATTCCTGGCAGTGGTAGGAGTGGCCAGGGAGAGGGTGGGGTCCCCATTCCTCCTCAGTCTCCAGGGAACCAAGACCAGTTCCTCCTGCTACCCAACTGCTGATAGTTCACTGGCGGGAAGATAGGCAGCTTTTCAAAGGGAGCTTTTAAGTTGTAAATCAGACATATTAATTAAAACTTTAATATAACATGTTATTAAAAGCAGCAATTCAAAACCATAAATCTTTTAGAAGGTGCACAGGGTTACTGTAAGGTCAGTTGGCAATAATGCAGCTAGGATCTGGAATGAAATGCTGGGGCGCGGAGTCGGCGACCTCGTTCGGCCTTGTGCTGACTTCCCAAGTAGGGAAGGCACCCTTCCCCTCCTTCCCCCTCCTCAAGCCCAGAGCTTCTCTGGAGCCCAAGCAGAGATGGCACAGGTGCACCCCAACAGGCCTTGCTCGTCCTGAGCTTTCTCAGAAGCCTGGGACTCTGAACCAGGCCGGAAGCTGCAGACTGGATCCCAGGTCCCACACCCCTGCTGGGCTGGGGCTGCCTTCTCAGCTCCCCTTCCACCTGGCCCCAGTTGGGGGCTTCAGTGGCAGCAGCTGTGGGGCTGAGAAGGGGGAGACCTGGGCCCAACCCTGTATCTTCCTGTCTGGTCCACCAGGGAAGCAAGGGGGGGGCTGTGCACAGGAAGTGAGGTGCATTGGAAAGGCACTGTAGGAGCTGAGACTTAAGGCAAGGGGCATCTGAACTACCCCAGGGATCCCCTGAAGGCTCACAGGCGGGGAGGGGTCAGCTCCTCAGGCCTGCCGTCTCCACTGCCACCCTCACTGTTCACCCCCTGCGCCTAGCAGCTGGCAGCCCGCGAAGCCCAGCCGAGCTGGAGGCCCAGCCGAGCTGGAGGCCCAGCCGCAGCTGCAGGCCGACCCCATCTGGTGCACGACCCACCCTGAGTCAAGGCACTTTATATCTCTTTTTTCAATCGAGTCAGTTTCTAATATCTCTGGAAGCAGGAAAAATGAGGGGTCCCCTCCCATTTTTGGTTTCCCTCCAAGTGGGTGAGTTTTAATTGTCTGAAGAATTCTATTTATACTCCCACTGACAAGGGCTTCCCTTTGAGGGGACTGAATCACACAGGCCCTTTAAAACTCCCAACCTGTCCCCAAAAGTGATTGTCAATTCAGGGTGGGGCAGGGGATAAGGCAGAAGAGCCGGGGGGGGGGGGGGGGGGGGGGGGGGGGAGTCCCCTGTGCTTCCCAGTGGGGTCAGAGCTGGGTCACGGGCTGAAAGAAGGGGGAGGAGCTGGACTTTCACATTTAGTTGCAGCACATGGTCCCTAGAAGAAGGCAGAGGGAAAGCCAAGGGCAGGAGCCAGGCTGTCAGTGGTGGGAGAGTGTGTGTGTGTGTGTGTGTGTGTGTGTGTGCGTGTGTGTGTTTGTGCACGCTCGCGCGCCTGGAGACCGGGAGCCACGTGTTTGTGCCTGAGCATGAAGGCACATGCGGATGAACGCTGGGTGTGTGTGTGTGTGTGTGTGTGTGTGTATACGCGCGCCTGGAGACCGGGAGCCACGTGTTTGTGCCTGAGCATGAAGGCACATGCGGATGAACACTGGGTGTGTGCGTGTGTACGCGCGCCTGGAGACCGGGAGCCACGTGTTTGTGCCTGAGCATGAAGGCACATGCGGATGAACGCTGGGTGTGTGTGTGTGTGTGTGTTGGTCTGGGGGAGGGAGGCGTAGGAAAGGGTCTGAGGTTTAGCATGACACACCTTCCTTTCCTCCCTCTTCCTCTCCCTGTCCCTCAGGGTTTCGAGGCCACCTCTGTCCAGGCCCAGCCCCATAACCGAGAGGCGTGGCCAAGGACAGGAAAACCGGGAGCGCAGACGCTGACACTGCAGCCGTCACGGGCACTGGTACCTCCCGAGGCAGAGACCCAGCCTCTCCACTCCTCGGATCCTGAGAGCCCCAGGGCCCTGCCACAGGCTTCAGGGGCTTCTACCCTCACTGCCTCGTCCCAGGCTCGGGTGGGGGAAAGGGAAGTGGGGGAGAGAAGCTCCCACCTTCATCCATCTTTCTCAGAGGTTCCTGTTCTCATAACGTGGTCCCTGGGAGGACTGGCCGCCCATGAGTCAGCTGTGAGGGACAACACATACCCAAAGGGGTGAGAGGTAAGTGACACAAACTTGGGGACAAAGATCCAGGCTTCAGGAAGAAGCATCCAGAGCCAGGGGGACACATTCAAAGGACGAGGAGACAGTTTGAAGGAGTGCGGAGTGTGTGGAGACGCTGGGACCTTAGAGACACAGGAAGAGGGTGATGAGCCTGCCGAGGCCCGAGAGCTCAGTGGGCACAGCAGAGAGGCACAGACCTTGGCCTGGAGGGTGGCAGGAAGGGCCCGTGCCAGGCACTTGCCGCTCTGTCTTGCTCCCCTCCTCACCCCACCCTGAAGAGAACCAGGGAGCCTGTGGCTTCCACTGTCTCTTGGCTTCCAGGGCCCCTGGCATCCCGTGTGGGCTAGTCAATAAGGGGTGGTCCCTTCCCACTCCACCAGGTACTGGACCTTGCCCTCGGGTGTGACCCTCCGAGCCAGCACCTGGTACTTCTCCCCACAGGCCAACCGCCCAGCCGCGCCGAAATAGTTGGTGATGGATGACTTGAGGTGGGACAGGGACGAGTCGTCTTCACTGATGCTCTCAAACGTGTGGCTGTCGATGCCTTCGTCTGCCCGCTCAGGGCCCGAACCCCCCTCTGCACCGCTGTCCGAGGGGCAGCGTCCACCCAGCTCGGCTGCCTGCCGCTTTGCCCGCAGTGGCATATACGCGGTGGCTGCCAGCTTCCTCTTCCGGCTGCCCACTGTCCGCCTGTGTCAGGAGAGAAATGGGAATGGCGGGGAAAGTCCTCACAAGCCCCCCTCCCTGAGCACTCTCCTGGCACCAGCTCCTGGGCCAGGCCCAGATCGGCCCACCAGAGGCTCACAACAGCCCATGTGGAGGGTAACAGGCTCGGGGGAGAAGCCACTAGCTGGGCAGTGACAGAGCCAGGATTCAGACCTGGGTGTGTCCGGCTCTACACTCAGGATCTCAGCCCTGCCCGCGGCCAGGGGCACCGCCCTCTGTGCCTCCTGAAGTGCTGTGCAGAGGGCCTGCTCACACTGCCTTGTCCTTGTCTGGGCTCGTGTATGTAGCTAGATGGCAGTATGGCTTAGAGTACCTCGTACCCCCGAGCCTGGACTGGAGGCAGACATGGGGACACGTACACACACACAGGCAGGAAGAGGCAGACGCGGTAGAGAAGTGGACACACAAGAAGAGGCATGCACGCGTGTGCACACACATACACACACACACACAGGCACACATTCAGATGTTTCAAACAGAAAGAGCCAAAGAGCTGGTGAGAAGAAACAGGTTGAAATAAATGAAAATATCAAAGCAACTTTAGAGAAAGTTGACAGAGAAAATCTCCCAAGATTCATAATTCTACTTTTGCAGGGGCCTCTAGTACCCACACAATAGAGCTGAAGGAGCCCAGAGTGCAGAAGCACCACCCTCCCTACGCCACTGAGGACTGGCTATTGCCAACGGGCTGGACTCTCAGCTTGGCCTCGGGTTTCTGTCCCTCTCCCAGACCCCATACCCTGCAGGATGCTCCTCTCTCCAAATCCATGGCCCTAGTCTTCAGAGACCTGGAAGACAGAACTAGGGCCGGGACCCTAGAATGAAAGAACCTCTGGTCAAGCGGCCCTGAGCTGGAAGCGGCCCTGAGCTGGAACCGCCCAGAGACACGTGCCACACAGCAACTAAAGAGGAGCAACCTGAAAGTCCAGACGCAGACCAGAGGGTCTCAGACCCAGACTCACAGTTGCAGAAGGCAGATCCTCAGCCCCAGGCTCAGATGCAGAGAACGGCCACATGGCACCCAAGTAGGAGGTGGAGGGGTGGGGGTGGCGGATGGCAGAATTGAGTCCAGGCTGCCAGGAAGCTTACCTGGAGTCATAGGAGAGGCTGGTGGAGGCAGAACCAGAGGTGCTGGCAGCGTCTGTGGAGTCCACGTCTGAGAAGAAGGTCTGGCCTGAGCTGGCACTGAGAGGGAGAGGGTGGTGAGCCTGCGTGGGCCCCCAGCCCCCCCTGGGACCTCTCCAGGGGTCTCTCGGCCGCTCTGACATGCACCCTTCATCCCAGAAGAGGCCCACGTTCCCATTGCTGAGCTTCCTACCACCGCACCTGCAGTGGCCACCTGCTCTCTGCCGGTCCATTTTCCACCCTTCCAGTCTACAAAGTCCAAGGAGTCAAGAAAGCCTTCCCCGACCACCCTCCCCTGGGGGTGACACATGCACTGTGACAGTAATAAAAAGATGGTAACTGATGAGCATGGATGCTTGCACCACACTTGACTTTGATTTACAGTATCTTGTTGGAATCTCAGAACCACCATGCAAAACCAGGTGAGGCGGTTCAGAGAGGTCAAAGAAGTTTGCTAAAGTTACAAAGCCAGTAACTTGGTGGGTAGGGGCTGGGGCCCAGTCCTGTCTGACTGAAGCCTGGCCCCTTCCATGCTTATAGGAAAGCACTGAGTGACACTTAGTAATTTCAGAAATCAAACAATGGAACATGCAGTCCCTCCTCCTGGGTGTCCCAACCCCGGCAGCCTGGGGCGGTCAGCGATGGCCCTGTAGGACTGTGCAGGTGGGATACCCACCGCAATCTGGGCTCACGGTGTAGGGCCAGGGGCAGCAGGGGAGGGGCTGGAGAGGGGGAGAGGGCCAGGCAAGGTGGCCCCGAGTGCTGCTCTGAGCTGTCCACAGGAGCCCTGGAGACTACAGCGGAGGACAACATGCTGGAAGCTCCGATGTAGACCCCTCAGTCACCTTAGGCGATATGGACTCGTAACAGGAGTGCCCACTCCCTCGAAAGGCGTTCTGCTCTGTGCCTTCCAGAGCCTGCCTTCATTGCTGGGGAGTGGGGGTGGGCTCCCCACTTGGCCCTGGCCTAGTCTCCAGAGCAGACCTCTCTGCTGGGTCCCTCCCTGTTACCTTTTTAAACTCTGAATTTCATCCAATGTGAAGTCAAATATGCTGGCCAGGTGGTGGTTGGTGCTCCAGGCCGAGGTAAAGTCGCTCTGTGGACACAGAGGCAGGAGGAAGGGAGGGTGGGTCAGTGAGCCTCAGATCTGCTCCCCGAGGCCATACAGGCTGCCTGCTGGTGCAGCCGGGCTTCTTCCTGGGCAAGACGCGTCGCTTCCTTATTCCCAGTCCTGCCTGACCGGGGAGCCAGGTCCTCCTGCTCTGATCCTGGCTGTGTTTGCATGACCTTCCCATGTCTGGGTCTTAGTGTCTCAGCTGCAAAGTGGACAGTGACCCCTGGCGTGCTTGACTCAGGGGTAGACGGAATGACAGCTAGGGAAGTACCTTGAGAACTGTGAGTGCCGGGCGATGCAGGCATGGCTGATACTGCTGCCGAAGGAGGGCAGCTGAAGGGGCAGAGCCCTGGGCCCCGGGGCAGGCTGGGCTCTGCCACTGCCTGAGCTGTGACCTCAGGAGAGTCACCACCCCTCCCTGGCCCTCAGTTTCCCCACTTGGACAGAGGGAACAAGGATATTACCTCCCCTTGCCCCCCGTTCAGGTTCTGGGGAGAACTCGGGGCGATAAAGGACTGGCCTTGCAGAGCCTGGCTTCTCCTTGCTTAGCTGGAATAGGAACTGGCTCCTTTATGGGGCACGGGACAGTCCCCTGGGCCTGGGGGACTCAGTTTCTGCACAGGAACCCCTAATATGTGCTGACCCTGTGTGTGAAAGTGGAGAGTAAGAAAACAAGAAACTAACACTGGGAATAGCATCTTCCAGCAAAAACTTTGATCTCTTTCTTCTATAAACTCGCCTTTTCTGCTGCTGAAATTCGTGAGGCAACAAACTGTGGAGACAGAAAAGGGAGAGGGTGGCCCAGTCAGAGCCTGAAGGCCCAGGAGGTGGCCCAGAGGGAGGAGTGGCAGGGGCAGGGCTGGGGCCACAGCCGTAGGGGTGGGGCAGGTGCTCCTTCACAAGGAGACCTGGGGAAGAGGGGGGTCCTCTGGGGCAGCAGGTGCGGGAGGGGTGGGGGGTGATGGGCAGAAAAGAGAGAAGGTGCCTCTTCAGGCATGTGCATCGATGCTCCGCCCCCACACCCAGAAGGGGCTCGGCTCCACCAGGAGAGCCAGGGACCCCTCACACTCTAACTTCTCTGCCTACGCTCTCATCCAGCAAGACTGGGTCCCGGGATCTGGCTTTTCCTCCAAGCAAGGCAACAAGAGGCTGTGTCTCGATGTGGGATCAGCCCTGGCTCAGCCGCTAACCGGCCCCTCAGGGTGCCCCAGGGGGACTAGCCCGTGTGGGTCCCCCTGCTTGCCTGAAGGCTAGCATACTCTTTGGGCCCATCGCACGGCCTGTCGGCCGGGGCTGGGAGCTGGGAGCAGAGATCAGAGTCCGGCTGCAGCCCTAGTCCCTGGGTCCCCGGGCACTGACCCAGGCTTGCTCTTTCCTCTCTTACGCAGCTCAGAGGAGGCGCTGTTCTCAGCGGGCACCAGGCCCTTGTCAGGCAGCAGCTTCCCTGGCGGGTTGGGTGGGACACGGATGCGCAGGCGGAAGATGCACTTCTTCTTCTTGATCTCCTTGCCACAGAGGAACCTGGGGGTGGGCAGGGGAGGAGTGAGCTCTGGAGTCTGTGGTCCATGCCCCTGGGGAGGAGAGTCAGCATTAAAACCACTCTCCGCCTCCCGGGACCCCGGGCTAACATCCAGAGCGGCCTCAGATGGCGATTCCTCAAGCTGGCGGGATCAGGAGTCCCAGGAGGTGGCTAAGGATGCAGCTAGTGGTTCCTCCCTGTCCTTCCACTGCGTGTGTGTGGGTCTTGCTGCTCCTCTCCCTCTTCTTCTCTGCCTCAACCAGCCCCAAGGCCACCTCCTGCAGGAAGGCCTCCAGCTCCCAGTGGAACACCATTCTGTTCTCTGTTCTCCCCAGGAGACTGAAAGCACCTCCAGGCACAGCCCTCATCCTTCAACACCACTGGACTGCCCTGCGGCTACAGAGGGGACTCAGACACAGCCCTACCCTCAGGAGACTGTCCCCAGAAGGACAGGAGCCACGTGGACTCAGAGGAGGGCTGTGTCTGGGCCCCAAACCATGAGAAGGTGGGAGAGAGAAGATATCTGCCTAGCGATGTCTGGAGACGTTGCATGGAAGCAGGGACCACGACTCATTCCTCACTATGTTCTCAGGCCCACACAGGGCTGGCACAGAGCAGCAGTTCGATAAACAGTTGTTGATGGAGCAAATGAATGAAAGGGCAGAGTGTGAGCAGAAACATGAGTGGGAAAGCAAAGGGTTCAGAATGGCTGACATCGAGAATAAAAAAGGCAAAGGGACAGAGGCAGAAGGCATGGCAGGGTCTCGTAAGGGGCCACGCATGCTGTGCTAAGGAGCCTGGGCACTCCCTCTGGTGGTAGCAAGGGAATGTCAGCTGTGTGCTCTGACAAGAACTCAGAGGTCTGGATGAGAAGCCACGGGCCACACAGCCCACCTGAGATGGTGAATCAGTCCCTCAGTTCCTGGCCCAGATCTAGATGGCTAGGGCTGGAGGGGCCCTCCGAGATCAGGGGTGCAGCCCCCAGACAAGAGTGTGTCACACTGCCGAAGGGGTCAGGGGAAGTGTCACAAAGGAGGTGGGGTGCTCTGTGAATCTAGAAGGACAGTCAAAGAGAAGGGGCAGCAGGAGACCCAGGCAGGGAGCAGAGCTTGAGCAAAAGCTAGGAGGGTAGGAAGAACCTTTAGGTTGAAATCCCACCTGGGGGGCGGCGGCCCATGGCATTCCCTTCCCTGCACGTACCGGCTTTTGTAACTGTTCAGCGCATTGAGGAGATGTGGTCCTCGGTCAGTCACAGGGGTGCTGGTGAGCTAAGGGGGAGCAGGCCAGCAGGACAGTCAGACCCTGGCATATGGTGTCTGAGGAGACCTCTGCCCCAACACCTCCCTCCCCTTAGTCTCCTGAGTCTTCCAGGTGAGAAACAGTGTCTTACTGCATAACCTCAGATGAGTCCTTACACCTGAACTCAGTTCCCATCTGTAACTGGGGAGAGTAACTCCTGTCCTAAATGTATCAAGAGCTTTAAAGATGTCCATGCCCACTCGGCTGGTGTGGCTCAGTGGAGTGCACGTTGTCCCATGGACTGAGAGAACCTGGTTTGATTCCTAGTCCCGGCACATGCCTGAGTTGCAGGCTCAATCCCCAGTAGGGGGCGTGCAGGAGGCGGCCAATGGATGTTCTCTTTCATAGATGTTTTGCTCTCTCTCTCCCTCTCCCTTCCTCTCTCTCTAAATATCAATGAAGAAAATTAGCCCTGGCCGGTTTGGCTCAGCGGTTAGAGCGTCGGTCTGTGGTCCACAGAGAGCCAGGTTCAGTTCCCCCTAAGGGCATGTGCCTCGGTTGCAATTTGTCCCTGGTCCTGGTTGGTCGTGCGGGTGGTAGCCACTCGATGTGTCCCTTTCACATCGATGTTTCTCTCTCGTTCTCTCCTCCTCTCTCTCCCTCCCACTGTTTCTGAACAAAAAATGGAAAAATGTCCTCGGGTGAGGATTAAAAAAAAAAAGGAAAATTAAAAAAAAACCATAAGGATTACATTTTTTTTTAAATCCCTGTTTTACCAAAGAAGGATTTGGGGCAGTCAGGAGAGAAGATGACTCCTTCTGTGTGTGGTGGAGAGGACTCTAGGCTGTCAAGGGGAAAGGGGACAAGGTCTGACCGCGGAAGTGACTGGGGAGGCCTTAGCTCCAGTTGGCTCAGCTCCAAATGCCCTCTGCAAGTCACTCTCCATCTCTGACATCCAAAAAGTCCTGTTTGTCGCTTCACTCCACAGATCCCAGGCTCCCAGGCCCCTGGTGCCCACTTCTGCTATTCAAAGTAGGACCAGCAGGGGGCAGGCACACTTCACTTTCCATCCTAGCCAGGTACTATGGAGTGGGTCAGACATCTCTGTTCAGAGCCCTGCTCCAACCAGACTTGATCCCTCACTCCTTGCAGCTGAGCCTGTGAGGTCCTAACCTGCCCACTGTCAAAATCCAGGTCAGGAAGTCCCTTGCAAGGCACAGGCTCAGAGGTGTGGACACAGGGATTTGGCAGCTCAAAGGCTCTAGGTCTTATTCCAGCCAGCAGCTTAAGAGTGAGCGCTCAGAGACCTGGATCCCAGCCTGCACTGTGCGACCCTGGGAAAACCTCTCCGGACATTAGTAACCCCATTTGGTATGGGTTCCTGCCATTCTGCCATCCCATGGTCCTGCATACCTTGCCAAGCTGCAGGAGCTCCCAGTGGTGGTTGACAAAGGCCAGAATCTCCTCAAAATCAAAGTACTTCTTCTTGCTCTGCACCCCCAGGTTGTAGAGGGCCAGGTGAACCACATCCACCCTGGGCAAGGGGGCAAGGAGGTGGGGCTAAGGTGAGGTAGCAGCCAGGGTCAAGTCTCAAGGACAGGGGCAAGGCTGGGACCTGGTGGTTGGAAACGGAGTTGTTCCTGGAGGAAGTGGGGAGGGGAGGAGCTGGGAAGGGACAGGAGGTGCCTGGGCCAAGCCCCACCCTCTCACCATCGCAGGGGTAGCCTCTCAATGTATTCTGGGCCCTGGTTACACACCGAGCAGAAGAACAGGTAGAACCTGTGGGTGGGTGGAGAGGGGGCCTGTTGCAGTTGGGGCTCTGACACGCCACCCTAATCCAGCCCCCTCACCTCCCACCTGCCTTCCCATAATCAGCTTGTTCTCATTCCTAGGGCTGGTGGCCTGGGAGCAGGGGTAAGGACAGGGCAGGACAGAGACCAAGAAATATTCCCTGGACCCTGCAAATCCCAACCTCAACCCCTTTCCCCAGTGTCTTGTCCCTGGAGTGTGGCTGAATTTAGAGAGAGTGGGCTGAGTTAGGCTGGGCTACAGCGGTCACACTCTTCCCCTGATATATATGTGTGTGTGTGTGTGTGTGCACACACGCAAACACACACACACACACAATCACCAAGGCACACATATCTGGTTTGATGCACATAAGCCTCCCATTAGCTTAGCCCCATTGGTTAGATGCTGGATCAAGTCATCCATTCACCCAATGGCTCCTCAAATGACCCAGGGCAGGGATGGGGCAGGGTCTGTCACTCCTTCCCAAACACTTAAAGAGACTGGGGCTTAGGGAAGGTTGGGCTTTGTCTAAGATCCCCCACAAGTCAATGGCAACTGGGGATGTGGTCCAGAGTGTTCGTCCATGGGAAGACTTCCCCCATAGACCCTCACTTCACTAGAGCCTGGCAGGCAGTCTGAAGGAGATGCTACTGCTCTCCCTTGTCCCCCCACCTCACACCCAAGGCTGAGCCAGACCAGATTAGCACCTACCGGTCTCCAAACATCATGGGCTCATTGAGGCACTGGGTGCAGGCTTCGTGAAACCACTGTCTGCACCGGTAACACTGCAGCATCCGCAGGTACCATCTGGAGAGAAAGAGGAGCCAGGGTCACCTGGGCCCACACTCTCAGCCAGACGTGAGCCTCTGCAACCTTTCCCAACATAAACTTGCCCTCCACAAGGGTAAGGGAAGAGAACTCAGTTACTGAGCACTTAGGCTATGCCAGGGGAGGCCTTGTGAGCCGGGCATATGCTAGCTCATTGGATCTCATGATGGACCACTATCCCCGTTTTATAGATAAGTCAGAGATGAAATGCTTTGCTCAAGGTCACTCAGAAAGCGAGTGGTAGCCTCCCTGACTTCAAAGCACTCTTCCACGATGCCACACTGGAGTCCCCATCTCTGGATTGTGCCCCACACACTTCTTTCCAAATACCACTGACAGGGAAAATCTGCCCTGGGGACTTCATGGGAGAATAATGGAGCCTGTAACCCACAGAGCAGTACCAGTCTGGTTTTCCTCACCTGGTACTGTATCTACCCTATCATGGCCACTCAACAACTACTCCCTGAATATAAACTAACAGCCCAAAGATATTTCCTTAATGACAGTCAATGCTTAGTTCACAGCTCGTCAGGTGTGGTCCATGGAGCACTGGCATCAGAATCACCTGGGGTCTAGATTAAACTGCATATTGCTTAGCCCACTCCAGACCCACTCAACCTTCAGGGGAGCCCCAGGGAAGTGCATTTTAAACAGTCACCCTGGGCAACTCTGCTCAGTAAGCATTGAAACCACTGTCTTAATGCTGTAAAGGTCTCTATAAGAAAAACATTTCTTCATATGTTACCCATAGGCTTCCCGACACCCAGGGAAATTGATGGGTCTGAGATTATTAATCCCACTGGAGAGATGAAGGAATTCAAGTGATTTCCCCAAATCAGCCAGGCAGACTGAAAGCACAGTTCTTGTCAAGGGGGCTTGAGGCTAAGATAAGGAATTCAAGGTGTCCCGGGGGCTGAATTTCCTGAGGGCAGACATCCCATCTCTTACTTCTGTGGTGGTCTTGTGCAGTCGCCATGGCTACATGGAGGCCCAGGCCCGAAAGGAAAAATCCCGCAAAGACCCTTGCCCTATAGCCAGGGCAGGAACCCCCTCCCCAGCATCCCCAACGTATGGCCCCACCCCCTCCTTGCACACCTCCAAAGAAAAGGATTTTAATATCTCACCAGCAGCCTGTTTCGTTGGCTCTGGCAATGGAAAGGTTTGTCTTAACTTCTGTTCACCCCCAATAACAGCTCGCATTTAAGTGCTTAATGAGTGCTAGGCCCTGTGAGAGCCTTTAGGTGAAAGATCTAATTCAGGCTCTGCTCACAGCCACCAGATAACGGGAAACTATTATGAGAACTGAGGCCCAGGGTCTGCACACAGCTGTAAGGGGCTGGGAGGATTTAGACCCTGGTGTTCAGGCTCTTACCCATTGTTTAATACTTCCTTCTTTTCCACGGTGCCCCGGGAAAACACCTCCACCTTCGGCGCCCCACCGCCGCAGATCTAGCCTCGCCATCTCGAGCCCCGCCCCTGGGCCTCATCCTTAATATTCAGGCTCTTCCCTGGAGGTCCCGCTCCCTCTGGCCGCGCCCCTCGAGCCCCGCCCCCTGGGGGACCCGTTCCCGCGGCCCCGCCCCAGCGATTTGACGCTCCAGGTCCGCCCCGGTCAGACCCGCCCCAGCTGCCCGAAGGGCCCCGCCCCGCGTCCCGACCTTCCGGGGAGGTCCCGCCCCGCCCCGCCGCGCCCCGCCGCGCCCCGCCCCGCCGCTGGAGGCCTTACTCTCCAGGCCCACCGCAGTAGCAGTAGCATTGCTGCTGGTTGGTGCGGTGGGGCGAGTCCCACTCGAGTTCCTCGGGCTGGTAGGATAGCACCATCTTCACCGCCTGCAGCGTCCTGGCGATGGCGCCCTTCTTCACCGCGCCGCCTTTCTGCGGGAGACGAGGGGTCCCGGTTGGGCCATAAGGGGAAATGCCGAGTAGGGGGACCCGCAGATATTCCAATAGAGTCAGACGCAAGGAGCTTTTTCTCAGCAATCCCAAATCCATCCTCTTCCCAGACGACCTCCATTAATAGTAATAAGCATGAATAAAGGTAACAATAACTAGTGAGTGTGGGCACACACGGTTTTCTCTTTTTTTTATCCTCACCCGAGGACATCCTCCCATTTTTTGTTCAGATAGAGCGGGAGGGAGAGAGAGGAAGAGAGAGAGAGAGAAACATCGACGTGAAGGGACACATCGAGTGGCTGCCACCCGCACGACCAACCAGGGCCGGGGACAAACTGCAACCGAGGTACATGCCCTTAGCGGGAACCGAACCCGGGTCTCTCTGTACTGCAGGTCGACGCTCCAACCGCTGAGCCAAACCGGCCAGGGCCATGGTTTTCTCTTTTAATAGTAAGGCTCAATTTATTGGGGGCCTCCTACTCCCGACACCAAACTCGTATCCATTTTACAGATGAGGAAACCGAGGCTCAGAAAGGCTAAGGAACCTAGCAGAGTCGCTGTGCGCCTCCAAAACCTTGGCTGTGATTTGTCGGGGTGGAGCCCAGAGAGTTGCTGGGCTTTGCGACTGGAGAGGGGAGAGGCCGGGACTATGGGGGACTCACCCGCACAGCCAGCGCGAAGATGCAGCGACGGCAGAACCAAGGTGTGAGCAGGGCCCGGTCGGCACTGCCTGCTATGGGGATGTGGCACTGCTGGTGGTAACCTAGGCAGAGGAGGGTGGTGGGTGCACATATGGAAGCAGCCATGGCCCAGGGCCAGTCGGCCCAAAGGCAGCGGGACTGGGGAGGGCTGCGGCAAGTCCTAGGGGCTGTGTGCCTGCCAGCTGCCAGGGGACTGGCTGGCTGTGCTCTCACCAAGGCAAGCCAAATTGGTGTGCCAGCAAGTGACTAAAAGCATCCTGGGCCCCCTGGAGGAGAGACCTAGGCCTGACTTCGGCCTCTGTGCCCCATGTCTCTCACTTCTGTTATCCACCCAAAGGGGTTTCAATTTCATAACGTCTCTTTCCAGAAGCCCTAGCTCTCCTCAAGGGTCACCTCCCTGGGATCTCACTCCCAGAGACTGGCCCCTGTCACTCGGGGGCTCCAAGAGAAACAGGAAACCAGATGAGGCCCCAACAATCTGAGGCACTGCCCATCAGGGGTCAGTGTGTGTGGTGGTGGTGGTGGTGGGACCACAGGTCAGGCCCTAGCAGTGCCTGCCCATCACACTCACCCAGGCCACACTTGCCACAGATGAGGATCTCATTCAATGGCCCTGATGTCTTCCCCAGGCAGATGTTACACTTGGGCTCCTCTCCTGGAACACCAGCTGAAAGAAAGAGAGAGGCCCTGTGGGGTCTGGCTGGCCAGAATCAGAAGAGTTTTAAAGTCACATTCCAGGTGCTGAGCCTCTGCGTGCTAGGCCTTGCACTGGGCCCCACAGGCCAACTCACTGACTCTCCCCAAGCACTCCGAAATGCCTGTTGTTGTTACCCCATTCTAAAGATGGGGAAATTGAGGATCAGAAACATTAAGCCCCTTGCTCTGTGGGCATAGTAAGCAGGAGAGGTGGGATTCAAACCCACGGCTGTTAGACATCAAATCCTTTGTTCTTTTGACCATATATCATACTGCCTCTCCTGTCTGATTTAACTTGGTTTGTTAAGCAGTTTTTTTATGTTAAATATATATATTTTTTAAATTTTATTATAGGATAAGAATAGAATGTTATAACTTAACTCTGTGTTCTCAATGAACAATTATGAACTTGTGGCCAATCTTGTTTTGACAATATTCCCACCAACTTCCTGCTGTTATTTTGCATCAAGTCCCAGATACCCAATCATTTCCATCAATATTTCAGTATGTATCTCTGAAAGACTAAAACTCCCTTTTAAAAAAAATACCCAGAATGACAGTCCCTTTATTGCATCTAAAAATTAAAAAGAATTCCTTTATATCAACAGCTTCAGTTAGTATTCACATTTCCAATTGTCTCAAATAAGTGTCGTTACAGTTTTAAGTTTGTTCAGTTGCTTTTTAAACTACAGGTTCCCTCTCTATCTCTTTTTTCTTTGCATTTTTTTGGTTGTTTTCTGTTGAAGAAGAAACGTGTTTACGTGTGACAGGTTTGAGTGGATACATTAAATACATATTGACATGTGTTTTCCTTATTTCCGCTAGCAGATTGAAAGTTTCGTGAGAGCAGAAATGGTATCTGTTCATCAGGGTGTCCCCAGGACCTCATGCAGTCTGTGGCATATAACTGGTGTTCAAGACATGCTTGTTGAGTGGGCTGTCCACTCAAGGTCTGCTAAAGTGAAATGTCTTTCCTCACCAGCTGGCTCCCTGTGCTGTCAATAAGAGGGTAACCAGGAGAGGAGGTCCTTATTGCTTTGGACCTTTATATAATAAATTGAGGTGAGAGGGGCTTGGAGAAGAATCAGTTGGCATTAACCACAACATCTTGGCGTCAAAGGCAATTTAGCTCTACTCACCGGCTGGGTTCTGTGGCCTCTACTTGGCAGGCTCCTTAAAATCATCTCTTATGGTAACAAATTCTTTAGAAACTGCCCCCCACCCCATAACTCTGGGCTAAGCATTTTATGTGGATTATCTCATTTAACCACTCAGTGAGGCAAGTACTTTCATCATCTCCTTTTTTCAGATGAAGAGACTGAGGGTCAAAGAGGTTATGTCCCTTACCGAAGAATATGCAGCTAGTAAGTGGCAGAGCTAGACCCTAAAACCTGCTCCTCTGCCATCTACTGTCCTCTCAGAGCACAAATGGCAAATAGGCTGCAGGGAGCTCCACGTTGAACATATAGGAGTGTTGTGACTGATTAGTGATGCCTGTCATGTACATGGGAAGGGAGAAAGGTGGCAAGAATGCCACAGATTTAAGACAGTGTCAACTCTGAGGGCAGGGATGGTACCCAACCTAGCTCCCTTTCAACCTTGAAAGCTGGTCCAGCTCTATTGGGCATGTCCATCTTCCTGGTCCATCTCTGTATCCTTGGACTTTCGCCCACCAGTTTTCTTTACATGTTGATAGGGGACCCTGTGCTCATCTACAGGTGACAATTCTGATTGCCTGGGCCCCTCCCTGTTCCTATCCCAGAGAGACTCAGAACTTTGTGCAGCAGGAAATGAAGTGCAACAAGGAGGCAGACAGGCCTGGGACCCATCCTGCTTCCAGCACCAACCAAGTCACTTTCTCCATCTCTGGCCTCCCTCATGAGGTATGGGTACTTACTTAAGGGGAAGGACAAATGTCATAAGGGCCTTTCCATGTAAACGCACAACTGGTAATCTGAGCAGTATCTCAGGTGGACTTGGGGGTTCATGGACAAGGTCAGATGCCAGGAATAAGAGAAAGAAGGCGAGAAGGAGAAAAATAGAGATGGAGGAAGAGAGAGGACAGGGGGTGGGACAGGGGTGTCTGAAACCTTTGGAGTACTCACCATGCTGTATGTCCTTCCACAGGACCCAGTATTTGGAATTATCTTCAAAAGTCACAAGGCAGCTCTGCTTTGAACTGCTGACCTGGGACACAGGGAGGGAGGAGCAATGTGAGAAAGTAGCTGGGGAGAAGCCACGGGGACATGGTCTTCCTCTCCCATCATTGTCCCTGCGGGGCTCAGGGATTAATATGACCCCCTCCCTGTGCTCTGGAAAGTAGCAGTGGGCCATAGGAGAAGGCGATGGCAGCTCCTGGAGGTAGTGCACACCCAGCCACTGGAGTTGCACAGTCAGAAACCAAGGGACAACTTGCTGGGAATGCTGAGGACAGAACAAGCCATGGTTGTCCGTGATCCTCTCCAACCTGATTCCATTTTGTTTTGTAGGCTTCAAGAGCACTTTTCTAAAGAACTAGTTGGGTGATAGCTCTAAGGATGGCACCTGCAATAGCTCCTTCCACGTTCAGCTTTTGAGCATGAGGGACAAGAAGGAAATTTCCCTGCAATTCCCCATCTTCTATCACTCATCCGAGGCGTAGGCCACTGGGAGAGATGCTGAGCATGGGAACAGGAGCTGGGGAGAAAAGGTTTACCCTCTTGATCTTCCCAAGGTAATACAATCCATCTGTCCACCGGCACAGCACATACTGGCCCTCCGTCAGCTTGGACATCAGGTCTTTAAAGTTGTTCTTGGCTTTTGCCAGGGCCCTTTTGTTGGGGAGGTGGCTGGTGGCACCATAAGAGTCCCGAGTCCCTGGGTCCACAGCTCGATTCTCCATCAGTTTCCACTCTTACTGGAAGAGAGAGAGAAAAGGCTTTTTACTCCTTGCTTCAGTGACAGGGGAAGGAAGGGAATCACCATTTATGTAACCTGTGACATCACCTCACCAGATTTTCATGACAACTCTGCAAGGGGGACATTATTATTCCCATTTTACAGATAGGAACACAGGTTTGGGAAAGGGAAGTGGCTAGAGGGTCCAAGGCAGAGCCGTGACTCATAACCTAAGTCCTGCTCTCTCTGCCACCCATACCACACTACCCTCTGCAGAGAAGCAGCTCTCAGCCAGCCGCAGAGCAAAGTCTTCCAGGCCAGGGGCCTGAACCACACTCTTTGGCTTAGGAGCCTGAGGTTTTATTACTTAAACCAGCGATTTTCAACCTTTGTCATCTCATGGCACACATAAACTAATTACTAAAATTCTGCAGCATACCCCCCAGAAGTATTTTTTGCTGTTCTGACCAAAAAATAGGCATAATTTTGATTGATTTAAAATAATAATAATAATAGTAATTACCTAGCCATTTTGCTCCAAAGTGACTTTTTTTTTTTTTTTTTTTTTGTTAATCCTCACCTGAGGATATTTTCTCCATTGATTTTTTTTAGAGGGAGAGAAGGGCGAGAGAGAGAGAGACAGAGAGAAACATTGATTGGTTGACTCTCACATACGCCCCGATGGGTCTGAATTGAACCTGCAACCCAGGTACATACATGCCCTTGACCAGGAATCCTAAGTGTGCAGACTGATGCTCTAACCACTGAGCAACACCGGCCAGGGCCCTAAGTGACTTTTTAAAAAATCAGGTGCATAGCCCTGGCCGGTGTGACTTAGTTGATTGGGGCATCATCCTGTGCACCAAAAGGTCTCAGGTTCGCCCTGGCCGGTTTGGCTCAGCAGTTAGAGCATCGGCCTATGGACCAAAGAGTCGCAGGTTCGATTTCGGCCAACAGCACGTACCTTGGTTGCGGTTCATCCCCGGCTCTGGTGGGGGTCATGCGGGAGGCAACCACTTGATGTGTTCCTCTCATATTGATGTTTCTCTCTCTCACTCTCCCCATCCCACTCCATCTGAAGATATTTGAAAAAATATCCTCTGGTGAGGATTAAAAAAAAAAAGGTCTCAGGTTCAGTTCCAAGTCGGGGCACATGCCCAGGTTGCAGGTTTGATCCCTGATCAGGGTTTGTAAGGGAGGCAACTGATTGATGTTTCTCTCTCACATCAATGTTTCTTTCTCTCTCTCCCTCTCTCTCTCCTCTTTCTAAAATCAATAAAAACAAGTCCTTGGATGAGGATTTAAAAAAAATTTTTTTTCCTCACCCAAGGATATTTTTTTCTATTTATCTTCAGATAGAGTGGGAGGGAGGAAGAGGGAAAGAAAGGGAAGGAGAAAGAGAAACATTGACATGAGAGGGACACATCAACTGATTGCCTCCTGCATGACCCCAACCAGGGCTGAGAATGAACCGAAACTGAGGTACATGCCCTTGGCCTGAACCGAACCCGAGACTCATTGGTCTGCAGGCTGACGCTCTGCTGCTGGGCCAAACTGGCCAGGGCTGGATGGGGATTTTTTAAAAATCAGGTGCCTATACTTGTATCTAAGGATTTCTCGTGCCAAGAATTAATCAATCTGACACACTCTTATTATGTGTCATGACAATAAAAATGCAACTCTATTATGTTTATGGTCCAAACAGGGCATTCACACCTGAAGACTATTGTTGTGTTGGCTGTTGTCATTTTCCCCCCTTTTATTGAATTTATTGGGATGACAGTGGTTAACAAAATAATATAGGTTTCAGGTGCCCAATTCTATAATCAGTACACTGTATTGAGTGTTCACCACCCCAAGTCAAGTCTCCTTCCATCACCATTTATCATTCCCATACCCTCCTCCACCTCCCTTCACCTCTGTTGTCATTTTTAATTTGACACGCTAAGGGAAAAGAGGTCAGTGCCCCTGACTACAAAGTCAGGTACTGCATGTTTTAAAAATTGTTGTGTCACATGGGTTGAAAACCGCTGTCTTAAGCAAACCTACTGCCTTCTCTCTAAGTGGAGGGCCTTCTCCAGGGGAACAGCAGGAAGTCTTATATTCTCCACTTCTGCCCTGAGAGTTGGCAGAGAAAACTTAGCCAGAAAGGAAAACGCCTGGGTGGCTTGTGAACTAGTATAGACTTGGCCATCTGTATCTTCTGTAATCTCCCTCTCTGTTCTCAATTATAGGATGATTTAATGGAAACCAATGCTAGGGCATTTAAACTTACTTATGCTTTTACTCAGATGCAAATTTGCTCTGAGTAGTTTTCACCCCCATGCCACCCCCATGCCAAGCCTCTCTCTCACCAGCCTATAAAATGCTTTCACTCTTCCGTTAATGGTACTACTGGGGTCCCAGAACGCCCAAGCATCTTAGACCTCTCCAACCAATGAGTTGCAGAGCTGCCAACATTACACACAGTAACTTCTAGCATCTTGCTGTCTTTTCCATCCCCCTGTCCTGGTCTGAGTTAGGGCCTCACCTACCTGGGCCATTGAGTCATTCAATAACTGTTTCCTGAGCCTTGTACTCACCTTGTTGTGTTCACCTATGCTGGGCACCTGGGGTGGGGAATGATATCACCAGTGTCCAAGGCTAAACGGGCCACTCCCTGCTTTCCTACCTCCCCGTCAAACTCTTCCACCAGGCCAATTCCCCTCTTCTTCTTCTCTTCCCGAAACCTGTGGCTCCCAAATCCTTCAATGGCATTCAAAGCTCTCCCCAAGGCCCCCTCCTCCCCTCTCTGGGCTCACCTGGCTCCCTGCCCCTCCACACACTCTCCACTAAGCCAAACACTGCCTCCCTCTGTTCCCTGCACCGGCTCCTCTGGTCCCCTCCCTCTCTGCCATGGCGCTGGGCACCTGGTGTTATGATTATCTGTAGACAGGGAGAGTCCAGTGTGTTTTCCGTTTGAGTGTGTACTTCTGTGAGACAGTGTTGGATGTCTACAACTGTATGTCACTGAGCATATGAAGCTAAATACATGTGTGTGCATGTGAGGGGCCCCGGGCAGGCAGGGCACTGCTGGGGTCTTGGCTCTCCAGATAGGGGAGCGGCTACCCCGTCTGCGTCCCGTGTCCCCATTCCTCTATTTTCTCCAGGGCAGAGCGCACAGGCACTGAGCAGGGTATGCGGTCCGATTCCCTGCCTTCTCCGCCACCTGACTCCTGGCCCTGCGAGGTCCCCGCCCGCCGGGCTTGGGGCCCGGGCCGTGGCAGGTTCACAAACTGACACATCCTCCCCCGCCGCGCCGCTGGGAGCCGGCCGGGTCGCCGCGCACCCCCCAGGCTGGGCGGGCAGGGGGCCCGGGTGGCGGCCCCCACCCGCGTCTCTATTCCCCCGGAGCGGGCCCCCGTGGGCTGTGATTGGCTGATTCAAACCCATCTGCAAAGAAATGCCTCTTTGCGGGTTCCCGTCGGCGTCCAGTTCAAATCCGCGGCACCCGGAGCGCGGGGCCAGGCGGGGGCAGGAAGCGAGGATGATTCATGCGCCGGGGCCTCTCCCAGGGCGGCCGTTGGCTTTTTAAAAAGGGTGTTGAGGAAGGAAAAAAGCTTGCAGAAGCACCCCGTTCGGGTCAGCGCTCCTCTCTCCAGTCACTCCGACGCCGAGCCTCCCCCTTCCCCATTCTGCCACAGCCTGACTTCGGACGTGAGCAAAATCCCAAACGCCCCCGTCGGTCTCCACCACACCCCACTCCTCCCCCGAACAGGAAAAGTAAAGATTTGGGGCAAGGGAATAGCGACCTGTCACCCACGCCCCCCAAGGCTCGGGTACCCGGACGGGGCTTCCGCCGCGGACACCGGTCAGCCCCCTTCGTCCCTCAGGCGCGCGGCTCCCCGGGACTCCATCCCCACCCCCGCCCCAGGCGTTCGCCAGCCAACGTCCTGGGAGACTGCAAAAGAGAGATGTGTGCAGGGGGAAGAGTGTGGCGGGGAGTCCCCGGCCCCGGCCGGCCGCCCACAGCGCTCAACTTACCGCGAGCCTGCGTGTCCGCCGGTCCCACTTGGAGTCTGGCCACCAGGCGCATCGGCGGCAGAGACGGCTGCGCTCGGCCTGCGGCTGCCCGGCCGAGTGTCCGTTCGTGGGGCCGGGGTCGGGGTCTCGGCGGGGGCGGGGCGGGGCGGGGGCGCCGCGGGGAGGAGGGGGGAGGAGAAGGAAGGAGGGGCCGGGGCGCTCAGGAAGGGGCCCCCGGGGCGCGGGGCGCCATCTTTTTCGCGTTTTCCCGCGAATTATTGACGTCCCGCTTATGTAATTAGCGGGGGCCGCGCCGGCCTAGCCATTGGAGCCCGCGGCCGCGGGGCCCCGCAGTGCCCCCGCCCGCCCGCCCGCGCGCCCGCCCCCGGGCCGCCCCTGCCCGCCGCGGGCGCGCATCTTCCGCCGCCACCGCGCGCCGGGCGCAGACACGCGGCGCGAGTGCACGGACGTAGAGGCAGTGCCGCGACACGGCTGCACCGCGGGCCACGGGCACAGCGCGGGCACACGCAGAAGCAGCACCCCGCGCGCGGCGCTCGGAGTAGGCACGCGCTTGTCGGGCCAACAGCTCAGCGCACGGGGCACAGACCTGCAGCTGGCACAGGACGACCCGGGGCCACCCAAACGGGATTCACACAACATAAACGCACAGCTCCCTGCGCTGGCAGCGCGGGCAGCACCGAGACCCAGCATGAGCATACACCCAGAAACGTACACACCGCACGCGGCACCCACACAAGTCCGCAGCACACCATATGCATGCCACGAACATACAAAGAGACGACCACAGAGTGTAGACAGATGCAAACAAGGAGAGACACAGTATACACAGCACAGACACGCAACAGAACTTACGTATAAGGCAGACACACAGGCACAGTAACAAAGTACAAATGAATGGCTCACAGTGAAAGATAACATACACAGCCATAGGAATAGCAGATTGATGTTAAGGAATAACAGGTAATAGCAAGGAGCATGACTCCGGTTACACAGGGCCCTGGCCCTGGGGAGAAAGGGCCGACATGTCCCCAACCAGACTCACTTTTGTGTGGGGACGGTGGGAACACTTGTCAACAACATCCCACCCTTTACCCGACTCCCTATCCCTCAGCCCTTCTCCCGCGTGCTACCATCACACTCTGCAAACACCCCCTTGAGGCTGGGGAAGTGTGTATAGCATAGGAGCGGCCAGTGGACATCATTTCCCCTCCCCACCTCACCGCACCCCAGCTTTCGGATCGCTGTCAACTTGCTCACCCTCTGCCCTCTGCCTCCCGGCCTTGGAGTGTGATCTCTCTAGGCCGCTGGGTCTGCCTTCAGGGTGTGCAGGGCAGACATTATAGAAGGAAGCACTTACTCTGGGTCTCATAGGCCAGCTCCACTGATTACTGGCCCTAGAACCTGAACATATCACTTCAACTCTTCAGCCTCAGTTTCCTCATCCAAATTGAGTTTTTGGGAAGGTTAGAATGAGTGTATACAAAACCCTGGGTACCTAGTGGGTATGTTGTAATTGTACTTAATCAAAAAAATTGTATATTCATTGAGTGCCCCCCTGGGTGGGAATAGAACTGGAAGCTGTGGGGCCCACAGCCTCATGGGGGTGTCAGGTGTTGGTACAAGCATTGACGACACATATGTAAATATGACAGGCATGGTGCAGTGAACTGGACATGGAATTGGAGGAGTCCTGCCTTCAAGTCCAGCTCTGCCTTAGAGCCAGTGTGGGTGGCGAGCTAGTCCCCTTGTGAGCCAGGTTCCATCTGCTCAAAGGGGGTACTAATGCTACTCCATCTCATAGGGCTGTTGCATAGATGAGATTAAACTGGATTATGAATGAAAGTTAAAATAGCATGATGAAGGAGCAGGTACTTTTTAATTTTATTTTTGATTAATCCTCACCTAAGGATATTTTGCCATTGATTTTTTAGATAGACTGGAAGGGAGGGAGGGAGTGAGAGAGAAACATCAATGTGAGAGAAACAAATTGATTGGTTGCCTCCCACATGACCCCGACTGGAACCAGGGAAACTTGCAACCCAGACACATCCCTTTGACCAGAAATCAAATCTGAGACCCTTTGGTCCTTGGGCCAGTGCTCTAAGGAGCAGGTACTTTTGTAATTAAAAAAAAAAAAAAGGTGTGTAAGGTGTTAAGGCACTGTAAAGTAGGGGATTATAAATGCCACTGGAAAGGTCTAGTGTTACCAGTGATGTTTAGAGGCGACTTTAACTTTGAATTGAGAGGAGAAGATAAATTTCATGGGAAAGGCGGTGTTTAGGTAGAATGTGGAACTGGGGAGGTGAAGGAGATTGTACATGCAGGAACCTGGGATGGAGTGAGTTGTGTGCGTTGGGCTGGACTTCAGTGTGTGGAGGGAAGCAGCAGAAGGTGAGGTTGGAAGAGAGGTGGAGCTGAGTATAATGGGCTGGTTTTCAGCTCCTGTGATTTTCAGCTCACAGGCCATCCGGGGCCACTGAGCAGGAGCTAGTGGAGTCTAGAGCAGAGAAATGCCATAATCTGGATTTGCTTTGGGACCTGGCAGAGTAGGTTTAAAGTGTGAACAAACAAGAGAAAGACAAGCAGTTCCATTTTTTTAAAAAAGATATCAATAGACAATTCACAAAAGAGGAAACCTAAATGGCCAAAAATATGAAATCAGGTTCAACCTCACTGGTCATGTGAGAGATGCAAATAAAGAGTCCATTTCACATCCAGCAGACTGGCAAAGAAGAAGTCTGTCCATGTGGGGAGAGGGGGCAGGGGTGGCGAGAACGTGGCACCTTTGGAACCCTCATAGCACCATGGTTGGAGACAAACAACTACCAGCTTTGAAGTGGACTTTGGCAATATACAACCAAGTTCAAGATGCTCTCATCCACAGTTCACTGACTCCATTCCACATATAATTGTAAAAATTAGACATTGGTTATTCATCAACAGCTGTCCAGATAGATACATTGTGATCCATTCATACAATAAAACAACACACGGAGACTACAAAGAAACTAAGGCTATAAGCTTCAACACAGAAAAGACAACATCAGGTTGCAGAGTAGGTGCAGTGTGATACCAGCAGTCGTTTTAAACATTCAACACCGTGCTACCTATATATTCTTAGGGACCCAGTCAGCCAGGAAAAGTGTTAAAATATGCATGGAATATCAAAGACACCACACTCAGGAGAGGGGTTATCTCTGGGAAGGGAGGGGCAGCAATGAGGTCAGAAAAGGGTACACAGGGATTTAATTATATCTGTAATGTTTTAGTTCCTAGGAAAAAATATCTAAAGCAAATATGGTAAGGTGTCAAGATTTGACAAAGCTGAATCCATAGTTGTTCCTTCTGATCCTTCTCCATCTCAAGTCTCAAACTTCTTCTCTACGTTCTGTATGTTTGAAATATTCGATAATATAAAGATGGACGGGGCAGGGAGACTGTGGCAGGATGGCAGAAGGAGAGGTTTGGTCACGTGTGCAGAACCATTAGAGCTCAGTGTCCCAACATGTCTGTTATGTGACTTGCCACAGCTTGGTGAGCCAGGCCCGGTTGGCAGCACCGAGCACAGGGGAGAGAATGGAGGCTTGGAGACGTGCAGTAATTTCCTCAAGGCGACACACAGTAGGGAGTGAGGGCTGCTCCCCTTACCCTCAGCAGTATCTGCACTTGCCTATCAGGGGGACAACCAGAGGCCAAAGATCCTCAGAGAAGGTCTCCTGCCTTGCACCCTCCTCCTCCACCTGCTACATTTGTCTGTGTTTTCTTTCAATTAAGGACAACTTGGAAAATGTAGAAAAGCACAGGAAGAAAATAAAAGTCACATGTGACTTCTCATTGTCTTATTTATTTATTTATTTATTTATTTAAATCCTTACCCGAGGATATTTTTCCATTTATCTTCAGATAGAGTGCAAGAGAGGGAGGGGGCGGGGAAGAGAGAGAGAGAGAGAGGGAGAGAGGGAGAGAGAGAGAGAGAGAGAGATGAAAGAGACATATCGATTGGTTGCCTCCTACATGACCCTGACCAACCAGACCCTGACCAACCAGGGCTGGGGACCGAACTGCAACCAAGGCACCTGACCTTGACTGGAATCAAACCCAAGACTCTTCAGTCTGTGGGCAGACGCTCTAACCCCTGGGCCAAAACAGCCAGGGCTCAGTTTTTTTTTTATCCTCACCGGAGGACATTTTTCTGTTTTTTGTTTAGATAGAGTGGGAGGGAGAGAGAGAAACATGGACGTGAAAGGGACACGTTGAGTGGTTGCCACCACATGACCCAACCAGGGCTGGGGACAAACTGCAACCGAGGTACATGCCCTTATTGGGAACCGATCCCGGGTCTCTCTGGACCGCAGACTGATGCTCTAACCGCTGAGCCAAACTGGCCAGGACTCGCTGTTTTATTTTCTTTATCCTCACCCGAGGACATTTTTTCCATTTTTGTTCAGATAGAGTGGGAGGGAGAGAGATGAAGAGAGAGAGAGAGAGAGAAACATCGACATGAAAGGGACACATCGAGTGACCGCCACCCACACGACCCCAACCAGGGCTGGGGATGAATCGCAACCCGAGGTACGTGCCCATGACTGGAATTGAACTGGAGACTCATTGGTCCTCGGGGCCGATGCTCTTACCGGTGAGCCAAACCAGCCAAGGCTCACTGTTTTATCTTTAAAGTCAACTTCGGAGATTTGTAGATAATTCACATACAATAAATTCACCTGATTTAAAGGCACGGCAGTATCCTGAGAGAACATGATTTCATTTGGGAAATCTGTCCAGTACTGGACAAATTAGCACGGATGAAGGGCTCTGCACAGAAGGAAATGCTTTGCATAGATATGAATACTTACTACGGTAGTGCAGTTTTTGGAAATAATTATGATAAAGGTGCTAGCGCCCTTGGAAGCAGGCAGGCAGCTACGTGGCCCTGTGTTTCGTTGCCTGAATTGGGGTGTCAGTTTTAATGTCCTCAGCATGGAGGTGCTGAAAGTTTTCAAATCGTGGACGAAAGCATGATTGTTAACACCATTTAAAAATTTAAAAAAAAAAACAAAAACCCGAAAAAGAAAAACACAAAACAGATGACAGGGTCAGACTGTGACCTGTTGAAGTGCTTGTGGCCTTGGTTAGCTGCCAAACCATAAACACCTTTACCTGTGGCTTTTGTGGGGAAATGAGAGAGTGTCTGCCCTGTCTG